CAGTGACTCTGGTCTATACAGAACATTTGAACTTACGAAAAATCTGACGAGACTAGCATGCGTGTTGAGAACATGGTCTGGTGAATCTGCCATGAGAATGAATATTGGAAACCTGGACCCAGGCAAAAGTGGCCCAGAAGACCACATGGAGGACGCTCACTTGGGTTGGGGTGGGGGGCATCTGAGGAATGAGCAACTCATTTTGATGGCACCTGGAATGCCAACAGTAGGGAACGTGATCTCCCACTGGGGGACAGGCCCCGTGTAGGAGCCAGGCCAGGCAGTTTCTGGTGGCTCTGTCCTCATGCTGGGCTCAGCGTTGGCATGGCTCTGCAGCCCTGGGCAGCTCCCTCCAACTGCAAGAGCTCAATTCAGCTCAGATCATGCTGCAGCAGAAGTGGCTGCCATCTTCTCTCCCATGCAGCATGACCTACAGCTTTCACTTGGAAACTTGGTTTGATTTCGGCAGAGCCTCTTCTCTCACAAAGGCCGGGGCATCCATGTTGTTGAGCCATCACACTAAGACAACTTTCCAAGAGGAGGGGAGTGCCCTTTCCCATCATTGACTTCTAATGTAGCCATGGCTTCCTAAACTATAGAAAACATGTTTTTCTAGAAGGGAAAGCTAAAATGCCATGAAGGACAACAAGCCAGAGATGTCACACATGCAAATGTGTGCACAAGTGTGTGCACGTGCGTGCGAACACACACTCACACAGGTACACAACACCACATACAACGTGTTCTATGTGCTCAGGTATAGCTTACCACAATGTTCCAGCAACATGGTGTTGGTGAGTACCCCCCACACAAAGCAGATGATGACAACTAAATTCCCATTTGTTTCTCTGCTATTCAATAAATATTTTCCATGACACATACATATACAATTTCTGGTTAAAATACGCATGAAAATGTCTTCTTTTCAAGTACAAGAGAAAGGTAATAGAGTCACATTCTCATTTACAACATGGTGGAATTAGCTTTCTGGTTCTTATGTACAGGCTAATGGGAATGTTAGAAAATACTTCAAATGAGTGCACGAGACTTTTGTGAATGTGCCTTTTAGGTACAACAACACACACACACACACGTACTGTAGACCAGGTAGCAGATGACCTGGCCACCTCTAGGGGAATTTTGCAAGTCTCAGTCAAGGTTTTTACTGGAACGATAGGTGAAGTCTTTTGCTAAACTGCATTAGGTCTCAGAGGATATTATAAAAGTTCTCCTCTGCTGCAATGACCTCTTTCTCACCACATGGCAGCATGGGGTATGGAAGAGTCCAATCAAATTGGACTGTTCTTCTTTGGAAACCCATTGATGTTTGCTCAGATTCTGTTCTTTATAACCTAGTCTAATGCAGATTTACCAAAGACTCCAGAGTTTTCCACTTTAATAAGAAGGGGGAGAGAGAAGAGGAGAGAAAACATATCATTGCAATCAAAGTATTTCTTCTGTCAATTATAACATCAGTCTCCCCAGAGATAGCGAGGGGGAAAAGAAAGGCAAACAAGAAGGGGAAAAAGATGAACTTAAAAAGAGAATCTTGACTGAAGCACTCTGAGAGATTTCTCGAACAGATGTGTGGTTCCTATTTTGAATGGTTGCAGAAACATCGGAAGGTGCTGGACATTGCCAGGCCTCCAACTCAAGTTCACTGACAAATCCTGATACAAACACTGGCTGCAACCAGGTCGCTTTCTCTGAAATTTTGGTTGCAAAGGTCAAAACACTGCTCCACAAAGATATACGATTGGACACATGGATTCAACGGACTCATATTTAGACTGCCATGTCACAATGCAGTTAGTGTAATGGTGTGATTTTATTCTGCCACATACCGTTCCAGGTGGCATGTCTTTTGTTTTCAATCAGGACACATCTATTTTTTCTTAATCTGTTATGTCTTAAAAGCATGAACAAGAAGTACAAGTCAGAAGATCACATTTCATTCAGCTATTCATTTGTTTAGAGAGAGAGAACACAAGTAGAAGGGAAGGGGGACAGAAAGAGCAAGAGCGCAACAAGTAACAACCACCACCGCCACCGCCACCGCCATTAGGACAGAAAGGAAGCCAGTCCCCTCTTTGGAGGAGCCTAAGGATATGTCACTGAACAGACCCAGTGCACGAAGGACCGGGTGTCAGTGTCTTCTGATCCCCACATTGTCTCTGAGCATGAAGTCTCTGCTGGACTCCCTTTCGACATATTCATTTTATCTGAAGACAACAGCACATCAAGCAATTTTCAGAAGCGCTACCTCTGATGAAACTAGGAATCAAAACAGCAATTTGTAGCATTCAATAAACGTGAGCGACTCCATCTATTTCTCTTCCCACAATATACAGCGCAGGGTCATCCAGGAAGAAACCCATTTGAATAATTGTCTTGGGGCAGAGTCGATCTCATTTGCAGTATTTGTGGGTGAATGTGATGGAGTAGGGATGGTAGCTTTTAAATCGGGGATGTGGAGGATGATGTGAGCTATATTTCTAGCTCTTTCTAGTCACCAAAACCAGTTTAAAGCTAAGGGGACTTGAAGCCCCTGTGTGAGTATCAAGGAGACGCGATTCAGATGTTGGTATTCTCCAGGAAGGACACATGTTGTAGGAATACTCCGAAGGGAGACAAGACACCCCCAAGCCTGATACGGTGTTAGGTCCAGAATGAAGGACAGAAGCTGGAAAAAGGCCAAGAAGACAGGACAAGACTCAGATCTCTTCCACGGCTAACACTAAACTATGGACACGGCCCTGGACACGGAACAAGGAAATTATGAAGGAAACATAGGATTGCAGGGCAAGTTCTCCAACCTTCCTAGGTACCAACCTGTTATTGAGCGCAGAAGAGCACAGGACCAGGAGAGTCCTCTGGGAATTGCTATTCGACCCTCAGGATGATTTATGAGACAGAGGTCTGATAAAAATGGGGTGTGTGGATTTAATGCAAACCTCATTCTTTTAGGGAAATAAACTGCAGCTTCTGCTTTCTTGTTAGTGCCTTTAGTTTTCTTCATATTGGGTGGAAGAGGCAGTTCTTTAGGTTTGGATGATAGTTTCTGAATATTAATCATGTAATCGATACAGGAGAGATTCTGGTTTAAATTCAGCGCTAGGGCACTATTCAGATACTTCCAACTAAAAACACATCTCAATGAGTAAGTTGGACCCCTAATCACTAAAGTAAAAACCTTAGGAGCAACATTGAGGAGATGGGAGAACTACAGAAAATAAGACTTAAGAAATTTTGGATTGTGCTATCCTCTATAGAGGCCCTAATGGGGCCTGACTACATAAAGGCTGCCATTAGAAGAGGCAGTCATAAATAATTTATCCAAGTTCCACTTCAAAATTAGAAATACCACTTGGAAATAAAAGCAAAACCACTCACCTCCGCGTACTTTAAACCAAGTAGGAGGGGTTTTTAAAGAGATACGAAGACAACCAAGCCATTGACACCCATCTGTACTTTCAACTCCTTATAAGCCAGGCCAAGATTCTAGGGCTTCACCATAAACCATCTACACACCTAGAAGACTCATGTTTCAAAGTGATGTGATCTTAGTCACTGATGGGTGTGTGTCAATGTGAATGGATATATGAATTACGAACCCTCTCTGACCAGCTGCATCCAGTAGTGTGTTGGCGCTAGCTTGCCCAGACTTAACAGGAGCATATCTCTTTCCGACTGCTGGTTCAGTGATAGTACAGTTGGTAACTTGAAGTCAGCCACGGTGGGGATGTTTACACTACGGCAAATGGCAAAATGCTACAAATCAGGCACTTTTGTTTTCAGAGAGCTGGTTGTTAAACATGTACCAGCACACCACTGATAGCCTCCCAGATTGACCTCTCTCTGCCAGGCGTCAAAGAAACTAGCCCTCTGTACAGGTAAGGAGGGGGCACCAAGGCAACCTCTTGTGGGTTCACTTCCTGCCCAGTGCCTTGTCTTTCAGGTTTCTCTAGAACAATAGAAGGGTGCAAGTTTTTGGAAGGCATCTGGCTACCCAATGCCACCCCACTGGGCTCTAGTCTCAGACACTTCTGCTTGACAGTCCCATGTGTGATGCAGTCCCAAGCAAGTATGTGTAAAGCACCTGAAAATCTTTAAGCTTTGAATATGGCTGCTGATTCCTCACTGCAAAGGCTGGGAAAGAGGTCCTCATGCAGGAGAAGCAAGATCTCTGCTGAAAGCACTCCCTAGGGCAGGGATCCTCAAACTGTGGCCCGTGGGCCACATGCAGCCCACCCTGTGTTTTTGCCGCCGCTGCCTGTCCTGCTTAGCAGCTGACTCGTCCAGTGTGCATAGGAATTTGTTCATAGTTTTTATTTAAATTATAGTCTGGCCCTTCAACGGTCTGAGGGACAGTGAACTGGCCCCTTGTTTAAAAAGTTTGAGGATCCCTGCCCTATGGCATTCTTCATGTATCTCACAGCTTGGGCTGGCAGAGGAATGGACATGGGTCTATACTACAATGTCCTGCCAGGAGCCTGGGGACAGGCTTCCTTTGCTTCCCTCTTCTCTCCTCAAATCTGGCAAAAACCGGAGAGCTACCAACATTGAAGTCACTGGTATAAAGAGTTTGAAGTGTTGAAGGACTTTTATTAAACACCATTAGTCTACACTGCAGTTACTGAAACAGCAAAGCTCCAAATCTCCATGCCCCACTTGGTGTGAGTCCTCTGAATGGTCTCACATCAAGTACAAAGAAGCAAGGACTGCAGTCTGGCCCGAAGGGGCTTTCTCCACCCTCCACCTTCACTATAGCCACCCTTCCCACAATGCAGTTTTCAATGTGATTGATGCTCTTGGTAAAGAAGGCTTCTAGATTTGTGAGGAGGAGAATGACAAGGGAATGAATGCTTTTTCTTGCCCACAAAGTATCTGGTGGGAGGATGAATGTCTGAGCCCAGCCTCAGAGGAGCCTTCTGCCGGGGTGAAAGCTGATCTCCAAGACACAGATGCCATTCTGTCATTGTCGTTTGCTAACACCAAAGTGAAAAAAGAATCAGTGTTTAATTATAAGAAGATGGCTGTGCGAGACAAAAGGAGAAACAACAGCAAGGACGACACCAACAGTGGCACATTTAGTTTGCCAGTTGAGTAACAGAATACCGACAACTGGCTCAACATGTTCCCCAACAGAATTGAGTTTGGGGCCAAGGAGTCAACCCATTGACTTGATACTGGGTAGCGACAGCATCTCACTACATGTTCTCTCAATGGGGATAGTGATGCTTCTCTTAACAGGCAGATCCATTGCCTGACTCAGTCCCCCCCAGTGATCCAATTTAGTTCTCTCGCCCACCAACTCATGCAAGTGAACTTGATCATGTCCTTTGAGAAGTACATTGGGCTTCAGTCTCACAGCTTATCACTTCTGCCTTTGTAAAGACTTCAAACTCCAACTTTGAATTCTGGGATGCAAAATGGAGTTAAACAAAATCAGATCGAGATCGCTTCTGCAAAGTCATGAGGGAACAAAATCCTGCTCAGGGCTAACATGTTCAAATGATGATCCATATATTCGCCAACTCAACAAAACACACCTTGGCCAACAGCTTCTGAATTTGCAATGTGCTTGTGAAGCTTTAGACCTCTTTCTTTCATTACATGGAGAAAAAGTAGCAACAGCTAACCTGCTTTCCCAATGATGACATCCAAATACAAAGCAACTAGGACATTGCAATGAAATGATTAAGTAAGTAACAGTTTATAGGTGGGCTAAAACATGCTTATGGCTAAACTCTACCCTGAGGACCACACTAGTAAATACTTTTCAAATTAATCCTACCTACCAAACTCGGACAGTAATGTGATAAAACCACCAAAAATCCAAAGGGAATTAAAAATACAAAGTCTAGTCAACATAATACAAAATTGTCAAACTCTCTGCGGTTGGAGCTTGGTGACAAATGAAGGCATAGTGGTGGCTCTCCTTCGTCCACACTGCAGGGCTGAGATTCCCTCCTCATTTTTTCTTGCTTGGGTGAATGCTGACCATTACTCCCCACCCATTACCCTACTTCCCTATTCTTATTCCCATGTGTTCGACCAGGCTTCCTCTGCCAAGGACTAGGGAGATGCAAATCGACTTCCTTCAGAGGCAGCATCTTGCCCTGCCATCCACATGTCTCATATTCACAAACTGGGACACAAAAGAGTTAGTTGACCAAATATCTCCATCCCTGGAAGAGTTGCATACCAATGACACACATCGCCATTTGCAGTGTAATGAATAGAGTGCCTGGAAAATAGCAATGATCCTCCATCAGGAGCCTGAAAGGTATCTGTCTGTCTCCTCAGGGAGCGAATGATACATTCTCCTCCATGGCTAACTGGGTGTTAAGCTGCCTTTTTAAGTGGGTCTGCCAAATAATCAGGTGGTGATCGTGAGCTCAACTGTCAGACTTGATCATTGTGCTGCTGATTGAACACACACGTCACCCTCACGCTTCAGGAGTGACATTAGGCAGTAGGATGACCTACCACCTCCCTATTGCATGCAAAGTCAATGTTAACTGGCTGAAACTACTAGAGCTACAAGCACAAGGTATTATGCTTGTTTCCCAGGGAAACTGTGCCTAACACTTGATTGTCTAGTTTGTGGAGATTGATTTTCAAGATTTACTCCTAAGTAGAAGGAATAAAATGGTCTGGGTTGGATTTATAAGTCAAGCCCAGTGGACTTCATTGGCTGGAATAGCCAGGAGCTTGACCTGGTAAGCCATGGAAAACAAAGAGAGAACTTGAGTCACTGCAAAAACATCAGCTTAAGTTTGATATGTGACACCCACAGCTGTGAAATCAATGACTTGGGTGTTCATAGTCTTCCACGTTATTGTTTTCCTCATGTAAGAGGCTTAGACAGGATTCTCTTGTATTTAAATTGTGTGTGTGTGTGTGTGTGTGTGTGTGTTAGAGGCGGCAAAAGTAAAGCTCAACCACAGTGGGTGCGGAGTTCAGCTGCTGGGATATTCGTATCAGTCACCTCAACAACATGGCTTTAGCCATTAGAGTATGATTTCTACCACAAAGGGTCGTAAACTCAAAGATGTCCAGAGCAGAGCTCAAGTGTGACTCTTTTGCAATGGGGGAAGCATCCGATCTTGACAATGAGAGTGCAAGGTGGCCAACCACTTGCTGTTCCAATCACAGACTTGCATGACTTGCTTTAAAAAAAATCATACAAGTTTGCATCTTTAATGTGCATGTATCTATTATTTATCTGGCCATGACTCAGTGAATAGAATTCAAGAACTCAGTAGATTAAAGGCTATGCGGAATTATATGCTGGCAGGTTATTACAATGAATTGACATCTGGATAGTGTTCACTGCACATGGGTGACTCTTCTGGTGAGCTGGAACACCCAAGATGGTATTTACATTGTGATTTTTAGGGACCTCACATGAAGGGAGGTGGCCCAGATTGGGTGGGGATGGATAATCACAAGGGATCGAGAGATCTCTACAAATCATATGACTGCCTCATAATCTTCAGTGTACTTTGCAAGTACCCAAGCTGCCCTACTCCCCCTAAGGCTTTCTCTATTTTTTTTAAAGGCTAGCTACTACTTAGAGTTAAGTGTTTTCTTTGGAATTTTCATGGAACTGTTTCATGCTAATAAAAAATGTCATAGAATCAGTGATTGTATTTCAGTCAAAAATGAATGAGCCAAAAGGAAAGAAAGAAAATAAAAAGGAAAGAAGTATGAAAGAAAGAAAAGAAGCCATGTAAAATATGGATAATAATTGGGGAAGTCCAGATTTTAAAATTGCTAAGAAATAAATTGTATATTCTTGCCTCGAAGCAGTGACAACTTGACTTTTGTTTCCACGGATTTTAGCAAAATAAAATGGATAAACCCTACTCATGGCTGATTTGCCCACCAACTTCAAAGGACATAGAAGTGTGAATTCCTTGTGGCCACTTTTTCAGACCACTCCTATCTTCCATCTCTTCCTGGAGGGTAACATGTTGGCTACTAGGGCAAACATTCATTTCACTGCTCCTTAAAAGCAGAGCTTGGCAAAGAGAGAATCCCAGACAAGGACTTAAGCTTCAAATCATGGAGTTCAGAACACAATGCCTTAGAAGTGTCTAAATTAATGGCACCATTCTTTCTCATTATTACAACTTTAAAAATGGGCAACCAGGAAGGGATGCTAACAAACAAGGCCTTGGTTGCCTGGTATAGCATCTCCTTAAGAGTGGCATTGCTCTGCTGATTTGTTGTCTGAACACCTCACTATTGCTACAGCCTCTAGCCACTGGGTTTGGGCAATGGAAATTCTCACCTGAAGATTGAGTCTGTGGAAAGAACAAAAGTTAAACAATGGATTCTAAAGTATGTTCTTTTCTGGACATGAGAGTATAGTTTGGGAATGAGCTATGGCTGAAAATTTTAATCTGCGTAGGTCCTTTGTGTCTAAGTTGTCATAGATGGGTAAAACATTTTGTTTCATTTCTCAGGAATTTGTTATCATCACAAGTGCTCTCCAGTCTTTGGGTAGTGTGGACTGACACTGTAGGAACCGTGTCATTCCATGACGCACAGAAGGATGATGGGGTCTGAAGAATACTTATAAAATGCTGGGAAACGACTAGGTTTTAAGAAAACACAGGCAGCTCTCAAGTTGTAGTGTCCACGTACAATGACTTCTGTTTTTCACAGATAAAGAAGCATTAAAAACAAACATAATCCAAGAGAACTTTCCCAAATGAGTGAAGTTCCACCAGTCGGTACTGGTAGAGGTAGTGATGGGTGATGTGAGAAATGGAGAATACCCACTACAACAAGTGGGCGTCGATGCGCAGCCAACACAGTCCCTGACGAACGTAGCGGACAAGATTGGTCATGCTGCTGTGCTGGGTCAGAGGCCCCATCAACGTGTCCAGGTCACCAAAGAATTCTGAAAATAAGAGCAGACTTTGGTCAAGCCTTTGAATAATATGATACAAATGTGTTGCTAAGTGGTCTTCACAGAACCACAGAAACACATGAGCATTGGGAAAGCTATTTGTTTGCAGTTCTGTTCATTCATCCATTGATTCAACAACCATTTATAGAGTTGCCTACTAAGGGACCAAAATGCCATATGTATTTTAATCTGTCTTTAGCTGCCAAAACTCAGCAGCCTGAATGATACTTGTAGGTGTTCTTGCGATTAATAAAACATAAATTCATTTAAATCCCTTAGTTAATTCCTAACAATTTTAAACCATTTTTATTGTATGAGAGAACTTCAAAAAGTTTGTGAAAAATGGAATTTAGAGAGAATGGAATATTTCTTCTTTATAAAAAAGCATTTTTTAGGGGGGGCTCATACAACTCATCACAATCCATACATACATACATACATTGTGTCAAGCACATTTGTACATTTGTTGCCATCCTCATTTTCAAAACATTTGCTTTCTACTTGAGCCCTTGGTATCAGCTCATTTTTCCCTTCCTCCCCCGTGAACTCTTAAAAATTTATAAATTATTATTTTTTCATTTCTTACACTAACTGATGTGTCCCTTTACCCACTTTTCTTTTGTCCATCTCCCTGGGAAGGGGTTATAGGTAGGTCATTGTGATCGGTTTCCCCTTTCTCCCCCCACCTTCTGGTATGGCTCCTCTCAATATTGGTCCTGAGGGGTTTATCTGTCCTGAATTGCCTGTGTTTCCAGCTCTTATCTGTACCCATGTACATGCTCTGGTCTAGTCAGTTTTGTAAGGTAGAATTGGGGTCATGATAGTGGGGGGGGGGGCAAGCATTAAAGAAATAGAGGAAAGTCGTATGTTTCATCGGTGCTACACTGCATCCTGACTGGCTCGTCTCTTCCTTGTGACCCTTCTGTAAGGGGATGTTTAATTGCCTACAGATGGCCTTTGGGTCTCCACTATGCACTCCCCCTCATTCACAATGATATGATTTTTTGTTCTGGATCTTTGATGCCTGATACCTGATCCCACTGAAACCTCATGATCACATGAGCTGGCGTGCTTCTTCCATGTGGGCTTTGTTGCTTCTCAGCTACACGACCGCTTGTGTTTACCTTCAAGCCTTTAAGACTTTTGATAGCCGGGCAACATCAGCTTTCTCCACCACATTTGCTTATGCACCCACTTTGTCTTCAGTGATCGTGTCCGGAAGGTGAGCATTATGGAATGCCAGGTTAATAGAAAAAAGTGTTCTTGAGTTGAGGGAGTACTCGAGTAGAGGCCCAATGTCCATCTTCTATCTTAATACTAAACCTATATATATATATATATGTACATAGATCTATTTCCCCATCATCATATAAATATATTTACATATGTACATGCCTGTATTTAGACCTCTAAAATACCCTTTGCTTCCTAGTGCTTTCTTCTATTTCCTTTTACTTTCCTCTTGTCCCACTATCATGCTCAGCCTTCTTTGGGTTTCAGTAATTCCTCTCAGTTATATTGCCCTTGATCAAGCCCTATACCCGCTTCGCCATTGATTTTTGGGTCACTTGTTCTCTTGTCCCTGGGTTTGTTAACACCACTTTCTTTCCCCCTGCATCCCCCTCTCTCGTGTCCCCCCAGAACCATCGTTCCCGTTGTTTTCTCCTCCAGATTGTTTATACCACCTATCTTATCTAGATAGACATGTAGAGACAATAATATACACAAAAACAAGACAGCAAAACAAAGCAACAAAAGAAAACAACAACAAAACCAATGACAAAAAGAATGGGATATTTCCACGAACTTTTTGAAGACCCACTTATATATTTTCTCGGACAATGGAATATAAAAATACATTGCAATCCTGTGGAGGTTTATGGTGAGTGTGTGTAATAAGCAAGGATATATGTATGTGTATAAATAGATGTTGTCATCAGATGTTGTGGAATAAGTTCTGATTCAAGGAGATCCTTTGTTCAAATAGAACAAGACACTGCCATGTAGGTCCTTCATAATCTTCACAATTGTCATTACATTTGAGCCCATTATTGCAGCCATTGTGTCAATCCATCTCACTCAGGGTCGTCTTCTTTTCCCCTGCGCCGCCATCTCACCAAGTAGGATGTCCAAAGCAGGTGAGACAGCATTTCACCATCCTCCTTTCTAAGGAGCAATCTAGGTGTATGTACTTTATTCAAGATAGATTTGTTTGTCTTTCTGACTGTCCATAGTACTTTCAATGTTCTTTGCCAGCACCATAATTCAAATGCACAATAGTTCTTTGATCCTGTTTATTCCATGTCCAACTTTCACATGCATATGGAATACCATGTCTTGTGTCAGGTATACCTTAGTTTTCAATGTGATAGCATTATGCTTCAACATTTTAAAGAAGTCTTGTGCATCAGATTTGCCTCAGACAGTGCATCATATGCTTTCTTCACTGGTGTTTACAGTAGTGTTGACTGTGGATTCAAGTAAAATGAAATCTTTGACAACTTCAATAGTTTCTGCCTTTATCATCTGGTTGTCTATTTGTCCAGTTGTGAGGGATTTGTTTTTCTTTATATTGAGGTGTAACTAATACTGAAGGCTGAAGTCTTTGCTATTCACCAGTAATTGCTTTCTCACTTTCATTATTAATAGATGTTGTTAGGTGCTGTAGAGTTGGTTTCTACTCATTAAGATCCTAGGTACAAGCGAGCAAAACACTGCTTGGTCCTGTGCCAAATCACAATTGTTCTAATGATTGAGTCCATTGTTGCAGCTGCTGGGTCAATTAATCTCATTGAGGGCCGTCCTCTTTGTCGCTGACCCTCTACTTTACCAAGCATGACAACTTTCTCCAGGGACTGGTCTCTCCTGGCAACATATGCAAAGTACACGAGAGGAAGTTTCACTATTGTTGACTCTTAGGAGCATTCTGGCTGTACTTCTTCCAAGACAGATCTGTTTGTTCTTTTGGCAGTCCACAGTACTTCAATATTTTCCTCCAGCACCACAATTCAAATGCATCTGTTCTTGTACGACCTTCCTTATTCAGTGTTCAACTTTCACATGCATATGCGGCCATTGAAAAGATCATGGCTTGGGTCAGGCACACCTTAGTCTTCAAAGTGACAGCCTTGTTTTTCAATACTTTAAAGATGTTTAATGCAGCAGATTTGCCCAATGTGATGCATTGTTTGTTCTCCTGATTACTGCTTCCAGGAGTATTGATTATGGGTGCAAGCAAGACAAAATCCTTGACAATGTCAATCTTTTCTCCATTTACCATGATCTATTGGTTCAGTTGTGAAGATTTTGGTCTTTTTGACATTGAGTTGTGGTCTCTTCTGAAGGCTGAGATCTTTGATCTGCATCAGCAAGTGCTTTAAGTCCTCCTCACTTTCAGCAAACAGGGCTGTGCCATCTGCAGATTGCACATTGCGAACATCCTGTACCCAGTCCTGATACCCATTTTTCTTCATATAACTCCAGCTTCTTTGAATATTTGCTCAGCATACCGATTGAATAAGTATGGTAAGAGGATATAACCCTGACACATGCCTTCCATGATCATAAACCATATGCAGTGCATCCTTGTTCTGTTCACACAACTGCCTCTTGATCCATGTACAAATGCCACATGAGCACTGCCCTGCGATTTCCATTCTTCTCAAGTTTATCCATCGTTTGTTATAGTCCACAGAGTCGAATGTCTTAGCACAGTCACTAAAGCACAAGTAAGCATATCTTCGGGATTTTGTGAGGTCAGTAATGATATCGCTATGGATGTATAAATACATTTATGTTGCTGTTGTTCGGCGCTCTCAAGTCGGTTCCCACCCACAGCGACCCTCTGCACAACAGAAGGAATCTCGGCCCAGTTCTCGCACCATCCTCATAATTCTTATGGTTGAGTCCTTTGTTGCAGTCATTGTGTCAGTCCATCTTGTAGAGACACATATAGAAAGCTGCAGTGCTCTTTGTTGACACCAACAGAGGAGGCCAACTCCATCATGAGGAAATCATGCTTGTGCTGGCTTGGGGTGAGGACGCTGGTGGGGGAAACTACAGATTGCCCTGCAGTGGTGTGGATGCTCTCTTGCCTTATTGGAAAAATTTCCATGTGTAGGTTTCATGGACTTGATTATTTCACTGAAAAATACAGCTGTCCTTCATGTTCTGCATAACACATAGGCCTGTTCCCTTAAGTATCCACTTCATTTGACTATGTGATACTTCTTAAGCTGTGTTATGCAATAAGAAAATAATTTCTGCTGATAAAGGAATAAATGATTCTTGGCATCTACTATGTTTCCTGATTTAATTCAATAGTAGGGAAATGTTAAAGGACCTAGTCATTGTTGAACGAATGGAAGCCTCCTGCGAGCCAGGACATCCTCTGAGTATTCTACACAGTGTTCTCTGTGGCATTCTTAACTACAGATCAGATCTCCGTCCTAATAATGGTTTCAAGTAAGCAGTGTAAGTAGTTAGGGTGGGAGAGTGTGAGCATTCTAGATCCAATACCGGAACCGTATGCAGTATGACATTTGCAGTTCTGTGGCATGGGATGGTGGAGGCACAGGCATCTTATACATTGAGACCCAACCTCATCCATCTTCATGGCATCACTGAGTGGGCAAGGTTCAGATACACGGTTGACTCCGGTGGTATGCAGAAAGGAAACTCCTAGTTTCCCATTTCTATATGGACAAGACAAATGTGAGGAAAATCTTCAAATGCAAGCAGATCAGAAATGAGAAGCACGTGAAACTCCAGAGTATTCCAAACTAGGTCCTCTCCCAAGTCTAGTGAAAAGCTGCATGGCAGCATTAGCAGGGCATATTTTCTCTCCTCTAGTGGAATGACAGAGTTGTTTGGATTCCGTATTCAATACCGACACACCATCTCACCCTAACATTGGCAAGGCTACTGCACTGTTCTTGGAAGGATCTTCAGTTGATTTAGAAGGGATGGATGGCTTGAACAGATTTTGAAAATGGATGTAATTCTGAAGGGAAGCCATAAATATTTAATCACTTTCTTTGAGTTACCCACAAAAAAAAAGGAGCCAGGAAAAGGGTAGAGGCAGACAAGCTCAGCATGTTTTCCAGAACCCTTGTGTGAGCCTGGTTCTCTGGGCCAGGTTTTCTCTAAATGTCCAGGTACCTAGAAAAGACTTGCCCGTTACTCAGGTCACTGAGGGCACCATCTCACTGATGGTCTCTGAGGACCCAGGGTTTATTTTGTTCTCTAGATAGGCATTGTAACCAGATGGTTAAGAGTTCAGATTCTAGAAACAGATCTAGATTCAATTCCTATTCCCCACATTAAAGAGCTGTGAAATCAAGGGTGAGTTTATTGCCCTCACTAAGCCTCATCTATAAAGTTCGGGTAAATTCAACAATAAATGATAAAGGAAATAGTGCATATACCTGGCATATAGCAGGGGTTTAGATGCTATCGATGATCGTGCAAATGAATGCATAGACAAATGCAACATATACATGCAAATAACTGAGAGTCATTGTGAGTTTAGAGCTGGATTGTGAGTTAAAGTCCCATGTTATGGAGAGGGCTTTCATAGCCACAGAGAGCATGAACTAGAGTTACCAGTTGCTCTTGACTTAAGTCCAACCCATGGCGCCTCCATGGGGGTCCGAGTGCTCCATATGGTTTTTAAAGGCTGGATTTTCAGCAGTAGAATGCCAGGCCTTTCTTTCAAGTTGCCTCTGGGCAGACTCGAACCTCCAACCCCTTCTTAGGTGAGCAGCCACCCAGGGACTCCTCAATTATATAGATACATTATGGGTGAAGAATGCTTCTTAGAAGCAAGGATGATGAAACTTTGGGCATGTTCTCAGGAGAGACCAGTTTTGGGGAAGTCTATCATCATGTTTGGTACAGTGGAGGGGCAACGAAAAAGAAGAAGGTCCTCAAGGAGATGGATTGATAGTATGGCTGCCACAATGGGCTCAAGCATAGAAATAATTGTGAGGATGGGGCAAGACCAGGCAGTGTTTTGTTCTGTTGTGCATAGGGTTGCTATGGGCCGGAGCCCATTCAATGGCACCTAACAACAACATGGGCTGAGGAAAGAGAGGAAACATTTGTAGGGTGTCTCTAATATTGTCTACTAGGTACTTTATGTGTGTCATTGCATCAACCAATCTCTATAATCCTTCTGGGTGAGTTTTATCATCATCATTACAAGTACTATATGGATGAGAGCTTGGTGGTGGCCAAAAGAGTTTAAGATTGTCCATGGCTGGGAGATAAACTAGGCTATGGGGTCCAGGGAGCCCCACCCCCCACCTCCGAATCCCCCCCATCCCGCAACACACACAGGAAGGAGCACTCGTTGGGATGTCCACCTTTATGAGGTCAGCAGGTCCAACCGGATTCCTAGAAAGCCGCTGACTGCTTAGGTCCTGGCCCTCTCCCTGTAGTCCCTGCACCGTGTAGATTGCTAATGCCTCCCTGTGTCTGATCAAACAAATTCACTATTCCCAGCTGCTGGGAGTCTGATTCTGAAAAAAACCCTGTCTGTCTCCACCTTGAATGAAGTGGTGTAGTCTGTGACTTGTGATTCTGAATTCGCCAAGCTGGATGAATGGTTGGAGCAAATACACTGTGTATTTCTTTGTCCCATCTTCTACAGGACAGCGAGGCTCCCTTGTGAGCCCGAGGCAGGGCTTGTCTCTGTATTTCTTTCATAGCAAACCTCACGTATTGCCTTGATGAGGGCCCTGATCCCAGCTGTCAGAGTGAGGAACACCAAGGGAGCTTTGGCCCTTGATTCCCAATGGACTCTGTGGAGCGGATGTTTCCAATGAAGATAGAATCCTGAATCCAAGCTCATCTCTCGAAAAAGATGCGATTAAAGTTGACATCAGAAGCCAACAGGATCTTAATTAGTTTGCAAATCATTCCTTGTCTCTTTGACTCTGTCTGCATTGATCCTCATTCTTGAGTGGAATACTGAACTAGTTATCTGCCAACACATCACCCTTCAGATCCGTTTCAGCTCTACCAGAGAACAAAATCCAAGAGCTTTCACTCTCAGCAAAAATGGGTCACCGTGTCAGCCTAAAGCTAACTCTCCCTTCCCTCATCTAAGCCCTGGCCATCAGAGAGACAGACAAGGCCACCACCGAGAGTCAAGTTCTTCAAAGCACAACTGACTCCATGGTGCTCTAAGAAAGAGGAGTTGAGTGGGTGAGCATACCTTTGTTCTCTCGTGTCAGCTTATCGGCCATATCCCAGTGTTCGTAGCCTCTTAACACGTTGCTAGTGATGTTGACATGGCTGGCAGCCATGTGGTGAATGCGCTGGGGAATGGTGACTGGGCCATTGTTACAGTTCCCCATCGTGTTGATGGGAGAGATGTTGTTGACAGACGCTGGTGACGGAGTGTTCCTGGGGGAATGGAAATAAAGGGGCCATGTTAGGGTGGTGGCAAAGAGCCACATCTGGGTTCTAGCTGCCCTCGTAATATTGGTGGCATCTCAGTAGAGAAGGCTAGCATGGTGTACAGACAGACATGAAGCCCCAGTGGAGTGAGGCTTGTTCCCACATCTCCCTGACTCCTTGGAGGGGAACATACTAGAACTTTCATTAACACCATAGCATTCTTTGGAGGCCCTGGTATAGAAAGAGCAAACTGATTACCACGCCACATCTTCTTTAACTGACCAACACCCCCAGACCTCCCTGGCCAACCTGCAGAGTGAGGCCCCTTCTGTTTTCTTTGGAAAAAAAGCCTGGTAATCTACCAAAAAAAAGCAGCCCCTGAAAATCCCCAGTTCGACTCTGACCCACTTGGAATTACCTTGAGTCAGAGTTGACGCCCAGGCAGTGGGTTTGGTTTTGTTTCCTCTCTCTCTCCTTTCCCAACATTCAACACCACCCTTGACATCCCCGATGCTTCTTTGGTTGGGAAATGCCAGCACTGGGTTTCTCTGGTGTGAAGTCTACCTTTAAGTAGCTGGAACAAACCTTGTGATAGTTTAGAGTAGGGGTGTCAAACTGGCGGCCCCCGAGGTCATTTTTTGTGGCCTACCAGGCTCTGAAATCAAATGTAACGAGGGAATTGTGTGTACGGTATTGCCTCGATCTCCCCTAAGCACTTTTTTCTTCATAACAATTTTTTTCTATTTTCATTTTATTTCAGAGCATCATGGCCCACAGAAAATGACCTTGGGGGCCCGCCAGTTTGCCACCCTTGGTTTAGAGAAACAAACAGCTCAGTGGGAGCTCTACCTACTCCCACAGTGGCAACTGCTAATTCGAAAACAGTCGGAGGACCCATCATGATCTCTTCGAAACATATTTGGTGAACACCACTAAGCCAGTGTGCTCCCAGGCATGGCAGTCAGCGAAGTGAAATCCCTCCCAAACTCCCAAGGAGCATCTGTCTCAGCTAAGGGGTCCAGGGTACAGCAGTGTTCACTAATGACAAAGCAGCCAGGAATGGGTTCCTTTGCTGGGGCATGTTGCAAGTGCTATTTTTCAGTCTTTTTCCCTAGTGGTGATCTTTAGCGCTGAAATGTCAGTTTATGGAAAGAAAAGAATATGTTCTCCTTTGTAATCCCCACAGAGCTGTCACGTGCCACCTATGCTAACAGTGGGCCCTGGGGTGCGGGGAAAGGAGTCCTGGGACCCCAGAAGCCCTGATTTCATCCTGTTCCCTCATTGGGCCTGGCAGGCTTCTACTCGAAGAAAGGGTTAGAGCCAAGGAGTTCAATGATGTCCAGAAACCCGAGGGACAACGAGTGCCTTCTCTTTACCACTTATACCTTGACAGTCCCTTTTTCGTTTAGAACACTGAAGTCTTATTGACGGGGCTACAGTGTAAACCACTAGGCCTCGTCCTTCCCATTAAAGACAAAACAAACCCCAAATACGGTTGAGTTGACCCTCAACTGGGTTTCTGAGTCTGTTCATCTTTAAGGGACCAGACAGCTGAATCTTTCTCCTGAGGAGTGGCTGGTGGCTTTGAACTAGCAACCCAAAGACTAACACATAGTGACCCTGGGGCTCTTTCCTTGCCATCGAAGGCCCAAACCCAATGCCACGGAGTCAACTCTGACTCATACTGACCCTTGTTAGGGTTTCTGAGGCTTTCTAAATCTTTGTGAGAGTGGGCAGCTTCACTTTTCTCCCTCAGAGCAGTTGCTGGGTTTGAACTACTGGACTGACGGTTAGCTTATCTGACAAATACCAGAGATACACATGCAGAGACAGGAAACGCCTCCTCCGGACTTCCTCAGAACTTCCTGACTCCACACCACAGCTTCTAGGCCCTACCTAACTCTACCAGCACATTTGACTGCCACTGAGTCCAACAGACAGCCTCGGAGCGACTGGTGGAGCTGAACTGCCAACCTTGTAGTTAGCAGCCCAGATACTTAACCCACAGTGCCACCAGGGCCCCTTCCCAAACACTCACTAACTGCCATACAGTCAGTACCAACTCATGGCAACCCTATAGCACAAAGACTTCAAAATCAGGCCACGGGAAGCTGTGATTCCATTGTGCCTCAGAGGCGCACATTTTAGGTCAGGCTATTTTAGTATTAATATAAAAATCATCATGAAGGCGCAGATAATTGGCTGACTAAGTGCCTTCACATTTTCAGAACTATTATGCCTTAGGTTTTATTAAACAGCACTTACCATATATCAATGAATATTTCATTGGTCTTTCATTACTGAGTGAATCATTGAAAACCCACTGCAGTGGAGGTTAACTGGGCTCGGCCTCCCTCAAATGGCACCGGGCTTGCCATCTCATTAGCGGACATGTTTTATGGCCGTCGTCTGGCTGCAAGATCAAACAGCCGGAGGATTTGGTGTGGCATCATTTTGTAACTTCGCTGGCTTGCTGGGAGCTGACGCATGCCTGCACCGTAAAGCAGCCTCCTCTCCTAAGTTGTCATTGCCAAATATTTGGGCTCCGTTCAGTCCCTTGTTTTCAGGGGGGAAACACACAAAACAGCCATTTTCGTGAGATACTTACTTTCCATTGCCGACCCACGGAGATGGTATCTGAGCAACTTTGGAAGCATTTTGCTAAAAGAGAGGGAGAGAGAGAGAGGGAAATAAGGACATCTAATTTGCGTTTTATTAATTCAGAAACAGATGGAAGTGTGATTTCGAGCACATTAATATTGATTGCAGCATTTCCGGAGGCCTCCTGTTCCGTTTGCGGCGCCGGGATGGATGTGTACGTCAGCACGCCCCGACACACTCGAGGAAAATAGCTGGTTAGGATAATGAGTGGGCTGCAATCAGGACCATGAAAGTCACTTGATGAAAGATCTTATCTGCGAACAGGCCCAGAGAAATCAGACTCGGTTCTCCAAGAAGTGGTTTAATTATCCCTCGTCTGAAATTTATGCTGCAAAACAAGCTCTTCAGAGCACACAGGAAAGCTTTTCACCTTCGTGCAAGTTGCAAACTTTTTTTCTGGGATGGGGGTCAGGGTAAGGGTGTTATGTGGGAGCGAGTCCTTTGCTAACTCTGAGTGTGCTGGGCCAGGACCCGGCAGCCACAGCTGGGCCAAATCAAAGCTCAATGCCATGAGAGCCAATGGTAGCAAAAACTCAGGGGCGGTTCTGCCCTGGCCTACCGGGTCGCTATGACCACATGACAAGGAGGTGCTAATACTGGTCTCTCCAGGTTGAGGGGTGCAGTTGCTTTCTCTTGTGAATAAGGTCTCTCTGGTTGAGACCAACTCAATGGCACTTAACAAGAACGACAACAGGTTGGGGTTGCCGTGCCTGCACCCCAGTGTCTGATTCGGGCACTGTCACTTAGCGTGCTGCTGTACAGCTTGTAGTTCTCATGCCCTGCCTCTTGACTTCTAGCCCGCCCACTTAGTAAATGGGGTGAGGGATGTGTGCTCCTGCAGAGGCCTGCAGATGCTCCCAGCATGCCCCAGTGCATGAGTTTCCTACAGTGACCACAAGTCCAGCAACCTCTTAGCACCTGGGGGCTTGTTAGAAATGCACATTCCCAGGCCCCAACCCAGACCCACCAACTTGGACCGTCTGGGGAGGAGTCCAGTTCTCTGTGTTCATGAACCATCCAGTGTGAGAAGCACCTTGCTGGAGCAGAATCGGGGCGCGAACATGTGAAGGGAAGGGCAGCTTTTGTATTTAATCCCCTTGGTCGCTTTTGGTTCATTCCATATAGTTGTGGGACTTTCTCTCTCTCTCTCTCTCTCTCTCTCTCTCTCTCTCTCTCTCAGTCCTTCACCTGTGCCCAACCACGGAGTCTTCTCCACCCACCTCCGGCCCTGGGTGAGGATGTTTGATGGAAACTCGCAATTTCAATCATTTCAAACAACTGCTTTGTCTCAATTTAGCTACGAGGACTCATGCATTTTCTTTCTTATATGGTGGTGGGGGGGGGTCCTTTTCAATAGAAGAAGCATTGAACTTCCCCAAGTCTGAGTCATAGCCAGTGTTGGGGGAAAGAAGCAGCAGAAGTCCCATGAACCCTTAAGCCACTATGCCTGGGACCAGCCAAGCAGCAGGCTGGGGCTCGCACGCACTATCTATGCTGGTTCTTTACCACCTTCAACATTGCATGGTTGGCTATCGGTTTAGGCTTGCACAAATTGGTTTAATGAATGATGGATTACCTTTGATGATCAAGGAAGTTATGATAAAGTGCAACAACTGCACTCTAACCACCTCACACATACACACACACACCCACTACCACTGCTAAAGGCCAAAGGACTTCCAGGGGGTAAAGATGTCTTCCTAAAGATGCATGGTGGCTCCAGTGGTCCCTCTTGGTTTAACAGGAAGGATCCTGGTCCCACACACAATGGCTCAGCCCACGTGGAGTACACCAGGCAGGGCAGGATGAAACACAGAGCCCTGGGCTGTCTGTACTCTAGAAGTTGATTAGGGCCATTGGTTCAGTGTGAGAAAATAACCAGGGAAGCAGGCTCCATCTCATTCCAGAGAACCAAATCGAACAAGTAGGCTCTCTGCTGAGTGCTAAATGAAGAGATGGGAGGGCCAGCCTTTGGGAACAATCCTTTGTCATTGGCCTTTTTTTAAAAAAATTGCTGTAAAAACACCTTTGCCATTTTTAATCTGTCCAGCTCCGAGATTTTGATTGTATTCGCCATGTTGTTCAATCATCGCCACGATACATTTCCCAAACTCCCTCTCATTCTGAACTGCAACTCAGTGTCTCTTAAGCAATAACTTGGCTCTCCCTCCCCTTGCCCTTGGTCACGCCTAAGAAGCTTTGATCCCTGCATTTGGTCAAGTGACATTTCACAACTTGTCTAGTATGTCTTGTTAATGGTTTGATTTCCCTTCCACCTCTCAAGTCCACAAAATAAGGATTACCTTAAAATACTCCATCAGTGATCGAGAGTATTTCATAGCATGGTCCTTCTTCAGTTTGAACATTCTCAAGTAAAGCAGTGACAGGCAGCGGTAGCTGTGGAGTGGAGGAAGGGCTGGCGTTACTATTCGTGAAGAATGACACCTCTCAATTCTACCCAAAATGCTGACACCTGTGTGTGTCTCCTTGGAAGAGGTAGATTCAGGAACACACACATCGCGTTGATTTATTTATGTTTAATGGAAGGAAGATATATTCCAATTCCATCTTGAGAAGGATCTCAATTAGGAAGCTGCACGTGTGGCTGCCAACTGAATAACCCCTTTCATGATCCTCTAATAGTTTAATAGAAAACACAAATATGGGGTTAGGGTAAGCAACTTAAGATGGGCTGGTGTTTCCAAACCCTTCTGCCCCATCCCATGTTTCCTTGGGGCCTCCGTGGGACTCACCACAATACCGCCAGCTTTTTGTCCCCATCCGAAGCCAAGGGGCTGGCAAAGTTTTTCAGCCTCATTGCATACCTGTGAGGAGGAAGCAAGCGAGAAAGTAGAGAATTAGAATGTCCCTCAGCAAGTCCCAAATCCATTTGCATTTGGATTGGCACAAGAGGTAGCCCCAAACTTGCTGTGGGTGGAAAGGCTGGCTACGAGCAAGTGGACAAAAGCTCTTCTGAAACTCATGATCAAAGCCCTGCCACCTGGTGACTTGGGTCTGGGACGACGCTGTGGGATTATTATTTTGTGTGTGTGTGTCAATGCTGGCTAAATACTGTTTCTAAACTCCTCTCCCTAAACAGCCTTGCTCATTTTCAGTAAGCGGTAAACAGAAATGCCAGTCTCAGTTCCCTTTATGACAGATGAGGTAAATCATACACAACGCTGCCTTACCCGAGCCAGGGAGACCTCAATCACCCAGTTAGAAGGTCTGTTCTAATTGGCTCTGGTTTCGGACACATTCCTACAGAAAGCGCTGTGGTTTTCTTAAAAGGCAGGGTGATTTCACAGCGTTTTAAGGCCAAGCACCCTTAATTTATAGTGCTTGTATGTTTTGTCTTTCCATCCCCTTTAATTGTTACTGTTCCACGCTGTGGGGATAAAAGGTTGAGTATTTTCCCTTTTTCCTTCCTTCTAACTGAGCACATTCCATTCTGGGCATTTAGGCTCTTGAAAATCAATTTATTGAATAAAATCATTGTCTGAGCTTTAATGCAATTTCACAGGTTCTTGCAGGAGAATAAGTAATGGGATTCAGTGTTGCATAAGGAAGTCGGATGTGTGCAGGCGGTGGAGAGCCGCAGGAACCTCCTCCTTGCAGCAGCCCCTCCCCCAGTGGCCATCCAAGACCACCCCCACCCCACCCCCGCGTCCTCCTTAGGACACCAGTTCTGTGATATGAACATTTTCAAACAAAAGGACCGGCACCTTGCTGTGAGTCCCTTCTGTTGTTGCAATGTCAGGCCAAGGGGGGTTATGATATAATAAATCTAACTCTGTTTGACATCTGGATCACTGGGATGACTAGTCACTGGGATGGCCCGCTTGTTTTCACAAGTACACTTTCTACTGGAGATTCCCCAGGCTCTGAAAAACTATAATTACTTGAACAAAGAAAATGGGCGCTCTCTCTGTAGCTGGCACTCTGTCGGGGGAGAGAGTAATAAAACTCTCTTCAGCATAATATTGCACTACTAAAAACTATGTTCCCATTACAATCATCCTCTAATTGCTGCCGCCTTCACTGTGACTTGCTAGTGCAGCTTCCACTGCTTAAATGGACCAGAAGACCTAGTAATGTTCCTTCATTTTATTCCCAACGGAAATTTCCCTCATTAAAAGGGATACACTCTGCACAGAAAATTAAAAAAATAAAAGTAGAGGGAGAGGACAAGCACACAGTAAATGCACGTAAAGCTGGGGCCATCTGCTTCAGGTCAGTGAATGTCTCTTCGGCTAGGACTGGCTCGTGCTGTACTTGTGATCCTAGATGGCACCCTTTCAGGAGAGAGTGGGAAGGAGAGACTGGGACTCTCCTCTACCTTATTAGGGCAAGGGAGCAAAGGTGAAGGTTGGAATAGAGCATGCGTGGAGCCCTTGACATCTCAGGACCACATTTCCTATCTGCATGAGGTCAGAGGATCATCTCCTCGTCCATGCTCCTGGCTGGTTCCTGACGCTGTGCACCAGTTACTGAAGGAGACCGGGACCTTTTGCCTTATTCCCAACCACTGCCTGGGAATCTACCATTGCTACCAAGCCAAACATTAAAAAAATTATGGACTGTAAGGTGCATGTCCATAGATCTTCCTTTGACTTCTACAATGCCCTGGCGGTACTCCTATGGGGAGGAAATGGCGTGTGATGAAAAGGAAATTAGGCTGAGAAAAGAAGTTTTATATTGTTTTTCTTGTTAGAGGAAAACAAGTGCTGTTTAATGGCAACAAATGCATTCACAACATTTTCGCCATAAAATTAAATTGGGGTTTTTGCTTTTGTATTCTGAAGAGTCTGTATACATTTTCACAAGATTAAATTTACAAGAGTGTGGAGAGAGCGCGCAGAACACCCGCAATCTTAACAGTGGCTCCACGAAAGAAAGTCCTGAGGGTCTGGTTCCCAAGAGAGCCCCATGGGGCAGTTCTACTCCCTAGTACGAGGATGAATTTCATGGCAACTGGTCCGGTGTTTTGGTTATGACAACTGGGATCTCATTTTCCCTCCAGGTCAGTGTATGCACACGTTTCTCATGGCCATAATTGCAGCACATTCTGCAGTTCTCTTTTACGCTAACATTCTATCACAGATTGCCACGGGGTCACAGGGTCTTCATAATTGTTGCATTTGATTGGCTGCAAAGGATTTGGTTGCATCTTCTGTTGTATGAAGAATTACTCTTCTATTATTAATTATTTGACTGGCTGCTAATTGCTTGCTCCCGTATATAATGCTGACGCTGACAGGGAACAGATAGCTTGTTCTATTTTTTCAATTATTTCCCTTAGTACAGGAAATTCACATTTCTCGATGTTGAATTACTGGTTTAAAAGCTAGAGATGTGTATTTGTATGGCTTTTCCTACACAATGTCAAATGACTTTCATCTTACAACGATCACTTCACACCCCTGTCAGCCTCTGAGGAGAGGCTTAGTGCCCCCATCCTTTTGTTTGTTTGCTAACTCTGTACTTTATCATTTAAATATCTTGTTAATAATAAAAAAGGGTCTATGTTCCATTGGCATTTCAGGATGATTAGAGAGGATGGATGCTCTCTCGGGTGGTTCATTAATGTTTTCCCTCAATTTTGAGTCCTGATTACTTTTGCCCGGCAATTTCATCTTTCATCTTCATCTTTGAAAATTGCAGGTCAGCTTGAATAGACAGTGGAAAACCAATCTCGCCTTAAGAGATATGGAATGGTGCAAGAAGGAAGTCGGGGAGGAAGGCTCGGCCTCTCCCCTGGGACCCACTTCTCAGAGTAACACTCATCGAAAGCTGGGAGATTGGTCTGGAAGCTAAGGTTAGGGTTTCCATGGTCAAGATCCCTCCTTCGGGGGCTTTAGCAGACTCTTCTGATCCTGTCTGAATATAGTTTTACAGTTTTGTCTTGGTTACGCTTATCCAGTTCTTTTGAATTTTTTTAAAGGGGAAAAAAAAGAAAACAGAAAACAAACTAAACTTGCCCAATGCCTGTCTGAAGGTTTCAGTACTTGGCAGCTACAGATCCATAAGCGTTTCTGCGGCCACAAGCAAGAGAGTAAAGAGCAGGCCTGGCATTCTTGATGAATAGATGCAGAGGGTGATGAGAACACAGGGGCTTTCAGGTACCACACTGCTCATTGGATCAGAGCAGTGATTTGGCCTGTCCTGTGAGAGATGGCATGTTCCTATGACTCCGAGCAGTGGTTCTTAACCGGGGGGTCAAACAACCCTTTCACAGGGTTATTTATGAGGTAGCAAGGAGAATAATTTTATGGGTTTTTTGGGGGTGTCACCACAATATGAGGAACTGTATGAAAGGGTCACGACATTAAGAAGGTTGAGAACCACTGATCTAGAGGGAGATTCACAAATCTCTGCAGATTGTTAGGAAACACCAGAATAGACAGGATTTCTTCCTCTCTTTCTCCTCCGAATTCTTCTAGGGAATTTTGATTACCCACAAATTCTCCACCAAGACCAACAGGCCAGAAAATTCTATTTAAAATGCAAATGAAACCAATAAGCCTAGCAGCTATTACACCCTCTCCTATTTCCACTCGCTTTCTCTATCTCCTGGGGAAGTCAACTCCACACCTGTGACCTTAAACGGTGACTTTTTATTTTTAAATAACCCCTCCTTTTTTAATAACCAAGGCAGGGATTCTTAGAAAACACAGTTTAATCACAGAAATCCTGAGAGCACCACTTCCCCTACCACCACCACCACCCCCCCACCCCCATCCCCCCGCAATTGAAAAGACAGGTGTCGTCGATGCCACATTCCTATACGTCCCTTCCACCCGCTCTGTTTTTCCATTTGAATTTTTACAAATACTGCAAATTACAACACACTCATTATAACCTTGGAAAGGGAGTCATTGATTAAAAAAAAAAAGCAATGCCCATCAATTTGGAAATTTCCATGACATGAATGAAATGGCAAGAACTGATTACAATGAGCCCTAAGCAGAAGGTGTCTTCGACAGACAAATCATTCATATGTTGAAATGGCATTTTCTCAAACATATCAGGGCCTAATTATGACTCCAACGAGCTTAGGCAGATGTTTGCCGAAAGGCCATTCACCTGAGCAGCTCCACCGTCTCGGAGTACATGGTGTACGGGGACTTCGCCTCCAGCGGGTCTCGCTCCATGGCATTGCCACATTCAGTGAAGGAGAGGGCTGCGTCGGCGTAGTTGACGGCTTTGCCGAATTTCTCAAACTGAAAGAGGAAGATGACTCATCAGCGTCATGCCCCCTCTTCTTGTAGAAGAAGTGCTTCCCACCAGGGAGATGCTTTCTCCCCAGGGAACCGTTGAAGATGGTTTTGGTTGCTGCAACGGGGGGCATGATTGCTCCTGGCATCCAGTGGGTGGGGGCCGAGGATGCTATTAAACAACCTATAAAGCACAGGTGAGCCCCGCATGAGAGAATTAGCTGACCCACGCGTGCTGTGGTTGAGAAACCCAGATAGAGGTGAGGATGAATGTATGGATCTGAAGCAAAGGAACTGATTTAAGATTCTTTTGTTCTAAAAAGGAGGCTGAGTGGGAGGAGAACCCGCAAGGACAGATGCAGCCCAGGTATCAGGGGTGGTTTGTGGTATTACTGAAGGTGCTGCTACCGGGATCATTCTAGTGGAGGCCAGGTTTCTGCGTGCTGAGCTTACTGACCTCACTAGCCTCTGTGGTGTCTAGAGAACAAGCTTGCAATGCAGACCTGCTTGTCCTCAGCCTCCTGGGCAATGAACACATGCAGTCTTGGCTTTCCAACTGTTAGCGAACACATCAAATCAACCCCGCCTCCGGGAGCTGAGTAACGAATGGAGGCTATCGTCATGAAAAAAAATAATGTGAAGCTGTCCTCTGACTGTTGACAAGAATCACATCACTTGCCTTGCAAATGATGGTCTGAAATAGTGTGTCCAAGAGCCACAAAATATAGCCCTACTAAATATTTCAGTTTAGTAAAACTTTATTGCAAAAGGTTTGAGCCCTGATAATGGTCATGATTGAACTGACTTAGACATACTGATTTCTTTTTTATGTGTAATGAATATTATATATGGCACTTTTATAGTGAGTGTTTTATAACACTATTTAACACGTTCAATTTTTGAGAGCTGGATGTAAGAATTCCACTAATAGGGTCTTTTATGCAAAAGAGTCCCTATAATGCAGATTGAGCTCTTTTAATTTTCCTGTATACCTTTTATCAAAATATTTCCTATGTAACTGTGAAGGCTTCAATTCTCAAAATGGCAGAGTGGCTGTCTCTAGGAAAGGATTAAGTGCAACTATAAAATGATGAGTTACGGGTCCTGCACAATCTCCCGCTGTAATGACTCTCTTTACAGTAAATGTTCTTCAGCTTTTATGTACTGCAGGAAATTGGTGGCTTCCTTTCTGGAAGCGGCTGTGGGAAAACACTGGTGCCTACCCAGTTCAAAGTGGTTTCACGAAAACCTGGGTGCATATGCAGATGATCTCTTTTCTCTCGTGCCTCCTAAAATCATTTTCTTGGGTCCACCAGGCTTTGCCTGGTGCTCCTATTTGGAAGTGAATCTTTACATCCTGATTTGGAAAAGTGATATTTTCACTGACTAACCCACAGCTGAAGGAGCCTTATGGATAATCTAGTCCAGTGGTTCTCAACCTTCCTAATGCCACGGCCCTTTCATACAGTTCCTCATGTTGTGGTAACCTCCCCAACTATAAAATGATTTTCGTTGCTACTTCATCACTGTCATTTTGCTACTGTTATGGAATGGGCGACCCCTGTGAAAAGGTCGTTCGACCCTTAGGTTGAGAACCGCTACTTTAATATACACTTCCTTGATGTGAGTAGTTGTTTTGCTTTTTAAACAAATGATTCAACGCCGGTGGCAGCATTAGGAAAGTTGAGAACCACTGGACTAGAGTATATATTTTAATTTATTTGTTTTCTCTCTTTCAAAGCCTTCCTAAAAGAGGTGGTTGAACTGCAATAGAAGGATGCTTTCGGCTCCAGTGTAGACAGAGGTCATGCAAAAAGGTCATTCCTCTAAATGAGTTTCTCAACTTTTCATCCATTATCATCCCTGCCTGGAATCTTAAAAGATATTTAAAAAAACACAAATCCATGAAATTTTAGTTCCAAACACATGCTAAAGACCTTTTTAATGCACAGTGGCCCTTTGAAGGGCCATAAATCATCTGGATATCTAAGATCTTTTTCAGGCACTTCCTAGGGACCTATTTTGCCACCATGAGGGTGGTATGTCTGCCATTGAGAATGCATTTTCTAGATGGATGAGACCAAGAGTGATTGCAGAGTGGTCACACAAACACATCCTAGGAGGTAGAACATGATTTGAATTCTGTGCCACTGGTTTGCTTCACGGCCTCAGATGGGCAACCCACTAACCACCAGCCAGGAAACAGGCACTGCGAGGAACCTGTGTGTGCTCTCTTGTCATGAGTTTGACACAGGGCAAACTCCAGAGCCCTTCTGCAGTGCAGTGAGGTGGGGGTCTTTTAAAGAAAACCCACTGCCTTTCAAACCTCTGGCCACCCATAGGAGGGTCACGGATGCAGTCTTCTCCAGCTTTGTCATTGCTGGTGCAGGAGCCAATTGTGTCCAAGGGACAATTCACATCACAAAATGGCCAGCTGCTGACAGCAGCCAAGCAGTCGGGATGACCGGGGGATGACAGATAATAGGGAAGGTGCAGAAGCAAGGGCCATGGCCACCACTGCCAGTCTCACACTCGTCCCATTTAAAGCTTGCTGTGGCATTCCTGAGGAGCCCTCCCGGTGCCAAACCTCACCTGACAGCTTTGCCCGGGAGGCAGTGCCTCGAGGAGGATGCTTACATTTAGTTTCTGAAACACAGCGTGTTGAATGGACACCTCTAATTGTGTTGGGGTGTAATCAGAGGGAGGAGCCTGAATTCAGCACGTTCTCTAGACCAGGGATTCTCCATCTTGGCTGCACTCTGGAATCACCTGGGAGCTTTAAGCCCCATGCCTAGGTCTCATGTGCAGAAGTTCTGATTTCATTCTTTGGGGGTGTGAACTGGACATCATCGGGGTCTCGGTGTTTCTAAAGGTCCCCTAGGGATCCTAATGTATGGCTGGGGTGGAGAAACACGGTTGGGATCGTCTGTCAAGTGCTGGTGGAGGTGGTCCAGACACTTGGGGGCAACTGGGCCATGTGTCCTGGGGGACCTGCACGACAGCACCTTCTTTCTCTGCAGGAGTCTTCCAGAAGCATGCATTCCCAGCAACAAGGAGCCAAGGTGCTGCTGCAGAGCTGAGTTTCCCCAGGATGTTTCAAGGCACATTCGCCAGCTCTCCACAACCTTCTCCCCTCGCCCAATACTGGTGGGCAGGGCCCCACAGGAGCCCCTCCACCAGAGAGGATGGCCTCTGAAGTTGGCGCAAGGAGAGGACGGCCAGAAATCCGCTGCTGTTGAGAATGAGGAGCTGCGAGGGGCAGCAGAGCAGGTAGGGTCTGTGCTACTGAATGCCGGGCAGGTGGGGACAGTACCTTCTTTGCTTTCCTTCAAAGCAAATACCTTAATGGGAGCAAAGCTGAGAGAAGAAGGGAACCTACCAGGGCATCAGCTTTGTGCTTCAGTTTCTTAGCCTCCTGCATATAATAATCAGCATTGTGGACCCTAAACAAACAGAACACATGCTCTTTCAGAGTTCAGTGTTGAGGTTTTTTTCACCTTCTGATTAAAAGACCAAAGAGTCAGACCATAAACACAAACTATTATTATCGGTACACCTCTATTCTTATATAATGCCTTGAAAAAAGCAGATGAATGTTTATGTCATCATAAACTTTGAAATAATCCTATAAGTGCCATTTCAAGTGCATAATGGCTTATTAGGGTGAAGAATCCCATTGGTCCATCTCCATCATTAGAGGGCAATCTATTTGTTGGCACATGTTTGTCTATAAGAACATGGGTAGGAAAGCAACCTGGGATTCCGCACCTGCCCTTGGAAATGGTACCAAAGCTCCACCAATGAACATGGGCCAGATCCATATGTTGGTGGACACAGAGATATAGGTGGGAGTGGGCAAAAACAAAAACAACCCCACCAAATCTAAACTCAGTCTATGGAGTCAAGTCTGACTACGAGCAACCCTATTGGACAGGGTAGAACTGCCCTTGTGGATGTCTGAGGCTGTAACTCTTTATGGGACTAGAATGTCTTGTCTTTCTCTAGCGGAGTGGCTGGTGGATTCAAACTGTTGACTCTCTGGCTAGCCACCAATGCATAATGCATTATGCCACCAAGGCTCCTGGGCATGGGCTCAGGATCGTTATGGGAGTTGGTGCTAAAATTTTAATTTGGGGCCACATAGTCATAGAATGAAAAACATTATCTTCCCCCCACTCCACCCCCGTCATTGGTCCTAAATTGTGTTTCAGAATCTGGGGACAACATACGAGTCATCAAAAGTGAGCTTGGGTCTCCGGACATTGGTGCTGTTGTTGGACAGGAGTGGCAGGGCCGCCCAGGACGTCATCTCCAGGTGAGTGCTATCCATGAGGCCAGCCGTGATGGCAGTGGTAATGGAGGAAATGGTGGTGGTAGTGGTTGTCGTGGTGGCCGTAGCTGTGGTAGTGGCCGTAACAGTGGTAGAGACCCCGGCAGTAGTAGTGACGGTACCAGTGTTGGTGACAGTGATGGTGGCTGAGGCTGCCTTTTTGGGCGTGTCTTCCTCCTGGGAAAACGGGGGACAAGGAGCTTCAATTAGGGGTAGCTCTTGAGACTGTCTTTTCATAAAGTCTCTCACTTGGGGAACATGCTGGAAAGAGGCAGGAGGAAAGCAAACCACCCGCTTTCACCCTATGGTGCCACCCCAAGCCGAGCTAATCAGGTGCTATTACATGGCTCTATCAATCTAGTAAGAACACCATTTGCCAAGCTCCAAATCCAGCAGAAAAGGCAAAGGGGGAGAAGAAGGAAGGGGAAAGGGAGGGCAGGATCGAACGGGAGGAAAGAGGAGATGGAGGCAGAGAGACCGACTGACTGAAGTCTTCTGCTCTAATTCTAGGGTGAGCAGAGTCCTTAGGGCACCTTGTAAAAGCTTGTCCAGCAGACAACATATAGACCTCAGAGATAGTGTAGATTTGGTTCTAGAACACCAAAATAAAGCAATATTGTACTAAAGTGAGTCACACAATGATTTGGCTTTGCTAGTGCATATAAAAATTATGTTTGTATTATACTCTCATCTACTAAGTGTTCTGTGGTGTTCTGAAAACATTTGAAATACTGTGAGAATATCCAAAATCTTCGACATACAGACACAAAGTGAGTGCCTGCTGTTGGCAAAATGAGGGATAGACTCACTCAATGCAGGGTTGCCACAAACTTGCCACTTGTTAGAGAGAGAGAGAGAGAGAGAGAGAGAGAGAGAGAGAGAGAGAGAGATACAAGCAAAGTGCAATACAGTAAAGAGCAGTAAAATGAGCTATGCCTGTGCCAGCCAACCAAGCCCTGTCCTGCAATAGTCGGTCTTTTCCCGCATTCGAGGCATGTGACCAGTTAGCATCTCTCTACGACTGCATCTACTGCTTTTGAGGTCTCATTTCCACCAGGTGGAAAATCCAATGGCTCGCCTCCTGAATTGGCATTGTCATAGAGAACCTGAGGCCCAGTGAAGAAAGTAGGTCATGAGTTGTGTAATTCTGCTCCGTAATTTTAAAGGAGTCCCTGCGTTGGAAAATTAAATGGTTGATTGTTAACCAAAGGGTTGGTGGTTCATGCAGAGGTACCTCGGAAGAAAGGACTGGTAGTCTATTTCTGAAAAATTTGATACCCCCGCGTCTGCCATGGAACAGAATTGATTCCGCGGCCAGTGCTTTACTGCTTCTATTACTAAACCCGACTCATCCTTTTGGGCCTGGCCACCTCTGCCAGGAAATGTGTCCTGTTCATAACCATAGGTCACTCAGAGTTCTGTCTCTCTGACTTCCAGCCAACACTGATCGCCAACACTTTGATATTTGAGTTCTCTGGGCTCCTGTGTCATTCCTTCCTTAGATGGTAAGGGGTCTCTGCACCTTGAAGCCATCTCTGATTGATGACACCACACCAGCGGCCACCCTGTCCTCCAGTCCAGTGTTGGCTACCTGTGTGCATGTGTGCATCAGGCCTGCCTTCACCAGAAGGGCCAGTTTAACAACTAAAAGCCAAATGTGAACGTTTCTTGTACCAATGCCCATCCACCTTTCCCACTTGACCCTGGGCCTTCAGATTTTCAAATGATCCTGACCAGCAAGGGCTCATTGACATAAAAGTATGGAGAGGCTGCACATCTGAAAGTACTTATGCTGGTTATGGAGAATATATTTCTAAGCTCATCATGAATTTTATTCAACCATTTTATTAGCATATAAAGGAATCAGAACCATCTGAAACTGCTAAGTTAGCTCCGAGTTTCAGCCCCCAGAGCCAGACTGGCCCAGCCTGAATACTGGGGTCAGTTCAAGTCAATGCCACGTCTCTCAGTGGCCAAGATCTGTGACAAGAAGCCTGACACCCCACATCCACCATGCACATAGCACTGAAGTCACTTCTGGCCCCTCTGACTGGAATAGCTTAACTCCATAAGGCTCAGATAAGTGAAACAAGCATGTCCTCCGTCCACACTCACCCACCCACGGGGCCAACACAAAGGGCTTCTGGACCAGGGTCCATGCTGAAAGCAGCAGACTGAAAACACATGTGGAGCTGGAGGAGGCCAGCCCAAGTCCACACCATGATTCAGTCAAATCCGCTCATTTGGGGGCCCCGGAGAGGTGTCTGAGATAACCTGTTGTGCTGCTTGGACTACACCTCACATTTCCTTTATTCCCCATCACATCATGGACTCTTCCAGATTTCACACCATCAATCAATAGAAGGCATGACCAAGAGGAGAGGTGCTGGTTGCTCAGCTCTGTCCCAGGAACCAGTGCCGGTTATGGCAGTCACTGTTACAGAAGCGTCTCCCCTCAACCCAAAGACAGGTGGGTATTGGACTGAAGGCTACCTGAGGGTCCAGGTCTCTGCCCCTGCAGTCTGACTGGGCAAGCATGAGGGGCTGGAGAGTTAACCTGGAAGGAAGAGTTCCACCTGAACTGGAAGAATTGGGATGGGAACTAAAAGGGGTCCATGCAGTTGTGGAATTTCCCTCTGCTCCTCCCTCCCTTTGCCCTGTAGCATCCCCAGCTGGCCCGATCGCATCAGGTGAACGGGATTAACGTGTTTCTTTACAGCACAGACACTTACATGCACAGATACCCCTTTGAAAGTTGAGCAGAATTTGCCTTCACTTCTCCTGTGCTTGTTCGTGGGGACCTGGGTAGTCATGGAGATGATTTTGTCATGACCGAAGGGACCACTGTTGCCACTGACGTTTCTGCGCCGGGCGAGGTCCTCTGGCAGTGGGGAAAGTGCAGGAGGGGACAGTTTTTCTTCTTTCCTTCTATTTGCTCTCCTGGATGAATTACTTCTGAGGAGACAGAAAGCATAGGGGGTCATAAAACTTTGCTTCACTTCATGCTGCTTTTTCCCCCTTGCGATGCTGGCATTTTCAGCTCAAGTGATATTATAGTTGGTGAAGCGTATACAAGGTTTAGTCTGAAACGCTTGCTATGGGGCGGAGGGCGGTGGGTGCGTGTTGGGGAGTTTTCCAGTTCACACACACATGCATTTATTCCATACAAAGCATGTTTCAACATGCCTGAAGACAACCACTTGTCTTAGTGTCCTTAGAGCACCTTCCCAAGGAAATGTCCAATCCAAGCAGTGGCCTCCGAGGGCGTCCGCTGAGCCAGTCAATTCAAGGCAGAGAGGGCAGCTCAGAAGGCCATGGGGGTTGCTTTGGGGAGTCCACGGGGGTAACCCTTGATCAATTTTCCTGAAGAATGCAGCAAGATCATGGGGGCTTGTTATGAAGTTTTCTGACAATCGCAACATGCACTCGTGAGAAAAAGGCCAGGAAAAAGTTGTGTCCAGCAATTTTCTCATCATGACAATGTGCCCATTCATTCCTCAAGGGTACCAAAGGGCTGTCCTATGGGAATGTCATTGGAAAACCTGACCCTGTCTACCCTGCAGCCCTCCCTGGTTTTGTCCCTTCAGATTTCTTTCTGCTCCTCCAACTCCATACTGAAAAGGAACATGCTGCTGTAAGTCCCTTGAGGATGCCCAAACTGCCATTAAAAGAGCACAGAATTCTTTGGGGGAAGGACTAGGGACATGGAAACAGTGCCTTCAGAAGTGTATAGACCTATAAAGTGGGTATGTTGAGCTACAATAGCTTCACATTTTCACACGTGTCTTTCATAAATGTTTCTAGGCTTTTATACCAGTATTTTTCTTATCCTTCTATAGAAAAATATGTCAATAGATATATGAACATTGGTAAGACTATAGCTAGAAATCTATTGAGAGTATAAATACAAATGTATATATGTATCTGAGAATAAAAAGTATTTGAAGCAGAATTCCATGATAAATGTAAATGTCTAATGGAGTGCACTACACTCTGATATTTTCAATCTTTCAACAATTGTGTTAATTATATTTTTATGGAAAATACGATACACACTTAAAGCCCATCATTTTTAGGCTGGTTCTTATTTCTTTTGTCCTAGAACTTTAAATGCTCAGTCACGCAATAAATGGTACAATAAACAATTAGAGGAGGGATATTTTCTTAAGATCTAGCACCCTTTAAATTACTTGAAAAACCTAACACACGCAGCACTCCTATAACACATCGCAAATTGTGTGTATGCATTGTTCTCCTGCCATGTCGAGGCCTGCTGAGCCACTAAGTTGAAATTGTTATATTCAAGTACTGGTGTACTCAACTTGACAAAACTCTCTGTTAAAACATATTCTTTCATCATATTGACATTAGACAGCTGCAATTCTAAAAGTACTCTTGTGCTTTTGAACGGATTTATCTGCCCATTAAATGGGCACCATTAAATCGACTGAGATTGGAAATAAAAGAGAGAAAAAGAACAACTAAAACCTTAACGCTAGCTGCTTAACATGGTAATTGGGTCATGGATTTTCATTTTAGTTACTGTCTCAGTCTAATCAATGAAGATTACTTGGATTTTAATCTTTTCGCGGACAACTAATATTGCACTCTGCAGCCATTTACTTTTCATGATTATTGACTACAATTTTCGATAGCAAATTACATCAACAAGAATTTATGTTTTCCTCTTGGTCCACTTCAGTCAGTGGCTAGAGATGCAGATTTACAATATCTCAAAGCAACAAATCAAAGAAGAACAAGCATTCAAGTGGTCTGATTTCCTGAACTAGTAGAAGCCCATATAGTTCCTTGTTCCACTTCTCCTGTCTTGCATACATCTGCCAATTGTAATAATATTTGTCGTCTTCTTCACTTTTTGTTTCACCGGTGTGGCCCTGTCACTTTTTGACGGACAGAAAAATCTCAAGAAAGAAACCATAACTGTTTCTGCCATTACCTTAACTCATTAGAATCAATTTTTAAAATACCTGTCAATGGATTTTGAAAATTGCTTTGACACATAGAACTATTCAAGGAGAGCCATGAGACCTGATTGTGGTGGTGGTGAACAGAGTGATGATTCTGGTTCATGAGGAAACCTTACAAATATCAGGCCATACTACCTATAATCCTTATGGAGGCTTCCGGACTTGGGGAATTTATGAGGAGAGAAGACAAGCCTTACTGGGAAAATATGAAAAGCAAATGGTTCACTGTTTACAGCCTCTCCCCATTAGATGGTAGTGGGATGTGTCAGGAGACTAACTACTTTTTAGAGGCAGTTGGTTTGCCACTGGCTGATGACATAATGGGTTATGCATTGGGCTGCTAACCACGGGGTCTGCAGTTTGAAACCATTAGCCACTCCTTGTGAGAAAGTTGAGGGGTTTCTACTCTCATAAAGAGTTACAGATGAAAACATTAATTTATAAATTATCAAGGGTTCATGAGGGAGACAGAGTGGTGGAGGGAGGCGGGGGGAAATGAGGAACTGATAGCAAGGGCTCACGTAGAAAGAAAATGTTTTGAAAAGGATGATGGCAACATATGTACAAATGTACTTGATACAATGGATAGCTGTATGGATTGTGATAAGAGCTGCACAAGTCCCCAATAAAATGATTTTTTAAAAAAAGAGTTAGTCTCAGAAAACCCACTGTGGCAGTTCTACCCTGTCCTGTAGGGTCACTGTGAGATTGAATCAACCCAGTGGCAGTGAGAACCACTAGGCAAGACCATCAAACTGACCATTAGGGACTCAGTACATTCTATGCAGTGGGCACCAGTGATCTGGCACACATCGATCTGCCAGGAAGCGACATCCAGAGAGCATTTCTTAGAGACTCATCTGTTACTATCAGAAGAGTTCTGCCTCTTTGAGTACTTCACATAATAGGGCAGATGAGCCCAGGAAACAAGAGAAGTGGAAGCATCACCATCCTCCACAATCCCTTAGAAATGTGAATGCTGTCTTATAGGAAATGTCAACAAGGCCAGAGGACTAGACAGCACTTGAGGAGAGGGTTTCCAGGAGAAGACCCCTGGATTTGTCTGATGAGCATAAGAACCTAAATCAGCTCTTTCCCCAAGGAATCCTTTCCCAAATGCTACTAGGTAAACATTGCTTTCCTATCTACCAGGATGTTAGGAAAACAAATGTGAATGATTAGATATTTCATTCATGCCTGCTCATCTCTCTTCCGTGACATAGAGCTGTGGGTGACGAGGGTACTATAGTAGTTAGACACCCCCCCTCCCATCTTTTCCTTTTATTGTATATACTTTTTAAAGCTTGGTGATTCTTTTAATTTACTTAAAACTTTTTGCTGTGGTGAAATGTATACAAGAATAGCTTGATCATTTTAGCCCCTTTACAAGGTGTCAGTCAGTGGGCCCCATGTCATGCACCCATCACCACCGTCTGGTTACAAATGTTTTCTCTCGCAGATAGAAACTCAGAGCCACTTGGGCTGTCACTCCCCCATTAGTGATGGTGGTTGTTGACGCTGCCTCGGCTCCTGGGACTCATTAGCAGACTTTTGGTCTCTATGCATTTGATGATCTAGATATTTCATAACTGACATCATATCATGTTGATCAATTTTGTCACTGACTCATTTCGTTCAGCATAAGAGTTTCATGAGGACTGGAGATCCCCTTGCAGAGGGGTGCGATGTAACAATGATGAGAAATACAACTTTCCTCTAGTTCCTAAATGTTTCCTCCCCGCTCCCACTACCATGACTCGAATTCGATCTTGCAAGTCTGGCTAGACCAGAGGAGGTACACTGGTACAGATAGGAACTGAAAATACAGGGAATCCAGGACGGATGAGCCCTATAGGACCAGTGGTGTGAGTGGCAAAACAGGGAGGGTAAAGGGAGAGTGGGTAGGAAAGAGGGAACCGATTACATGGAACTGTGTGTGACCTCCTCCCTGGGGGACAGACAACCGAAAAGTGGGTGAAGGGAGACGTCGGACAGGGCAAGATATGACAAAATACCCATTTATAAACTATCAAGGGCTCATGAGGGAGGGGGGAGCGGGGAGGGAGGGGGAAATTGGGGCCTTATTTTGGGGGTTTAAGTGGAGAGAAAATGTTTTGAAGAAACGATGTACAAATGCACTTTACACAATTGATGTGTGTATGGATTGGGATAACAGTTGTATAAGCCCTAATAAAATGTTAAAAAAAAAAAGAGTTTCATGAGGTTCAGTCATGGTGCAACGTGTAGCAGAGCTTCCCTTTCTTTATTGTTGACAACTATCACACTGTATGGATGGAACCACCCTTTGCCTATCCACTCATCATTTGATGGACAATGGGTTGTTCCTACTTTTGGTGGGAGGGGGGCTCTTGGGAATAGTGCTGCCGAGAATATTGGTGTGTCTGCTGTCAAGTCTTCTGGGTATGTACCTAGGAGTGGGATTGATGGGTCTGTACCTTCGCCTTGTGACCTCAGGTGCCCCGAAGTGATCAGAGCTTGAGAATCGAGCGCCTGTTGCTACCTCAGCTATGCCATTTGAGTCCTTCCTCCTTGGGACAAAGGAGAGCCCCAGAATGGCCATGTGTGCCCTGCCTATAAGCATGTTTCCCCATGTGCCAGAAGGGGGTTGGCTTAATCCATTGGAAGGGTTTCTAGGCCCGAGAGTTCCAAACATGTGAGGGAATGTTTCAGAGCTAAGTTCTTCCAGGTACTACAGGTCCACAAATAGCAGCAGATCCTCAGGGAGAGGAGACAGCCCATGCTCAATTCTCCTTAGTACATATAACAAGCGGGGCCAATAGTAATTGGCCTCTGTCTATGTTTCCTTGTAAAACAGCAAGGATCCGGACCAATGTGAACTGATAACATATTTCCACCATCTTATCTGTGGCAGATTGATGTCGTATCACTGATGTTAAACAGGAATCTGTGAAATCAATTGTTAGCAGCAGCTAGGCAGATTGCCTCTCTGCTCTGGGCTGTTAAATAGGCTCCCAAACTAGTCTTTGATGGAAGTGATCTCTAATTTTACGTGAATTGATGGCAATAATTACCCAGACGGAATGGTTAATGCAGCTGACATGACTGTTAGTTACATTATATTTATAAGACAGAAGACACAAGTCAAAATGCTTGGTATAAACAGAGAGCAGGACATCTCCAGGGAAGGCTGATACAATTTGAAGTAGAGAGAGCCAAGAGTTCCAGCTGCCTGATTCTGGCACCTTCCACTCAGAAGGGGCAGTGAGAAAAGGTGCCGGCTGGTTGAAATGGACGTGTTCACCCTTGCTGTTTTCCCGGACACTCCACTGTCCTCAAAAGAGAGCGACTCCCAGCCCCTCATCCCTCCAACCTCACCAAACATGTCCTCCTCCTGGCCTCCATGGGGCTGCGCAGGTAGCTCCTGGCCCCTACGCTTCAGACTAATGTTAAGTGTGGAGCCTGCAGGGAAGCAGCTGGTTGTCGTATTGACTCGGGTTGCTTTTCCAGGGCAAGTGTTTCATCACTATCAGAATGAAAAGTTCTCCAGAAAAGGGGGACTTGGAAAAGTGGGAGGTGCCTTCGGATGCTTCTCTTTGTAAAGCTGCTCACATCCTGTCTTCGCTTCGTGCTAAAGATTTCATAGAGCTGGCTTCCACGGCCAATCTGAGTTGGAGCAATGAAACGATGCTAAGGAGCTCAAGGGGCCACTCCACTCTGGTAGCTGGTACTGCATCCTTTACCCCACATCGGTAGACCCCTCGGTGGGTACAACTCTCAGGCCTGGGTGGAGTGGCACTTAGCTTTCCCAAACATGCCTCTGGAAGTGGGTTCCCTGCACCCCCACCCCCACCCCGGTGCCCAGTAGTGTCTGTGGGGGTCTCAGGTGAGTTTGGGCAATGGAGCCATGCCAGGCAGACAGAGGGACTCACTCTCTAGTGTTGGAAGGCTTTTGCGGTGGGATTGGTGAGATGCAAGGCGGGAGCAAGCAGATCATGGAAGCCTCCTCCAGGCGCTGTTTCTTCTCGGGAATTTTGTCTGCAGCCTCTGTTGGCTTTAACAGGAACAACAAGAAAAGGACACAGAACATGAAATACTTTGTACCTTCAGACACTGAAAAAAAAACAGCAACAAAAATCACATTAAAAAAAACACATCACCGTAGACTATATTTTTCTTCCTTGATTTCTAGATTGGAAGTTAAACGTGCGTCGTTGATTGGCCAGAAGTGGCAATCTGCCTCCCCTGGTCTAGTCTTCAGGAGGAGCTGGTTGGAGAGAGTGGAGCTGGGCTGTGAACCTCTCCTGAGCTGGTGGCACAGGAATCTCCTAGTAAAGAGGATCTATCCCTTTCAGACTCTTCTCTCAATGGCACCCCACAAATGAGGAGTTTGTAACTTAACATCTCAACTCAGGCTACACACCCTGTTTCCAGCAGCATGGGGATGGTGGTTGACTAAGTTACTCAATCAACAACATGCCAGGGCCTTAACGCTGGGCAGGGTAGGTCTCCGGCCCTCAGCATGGGCTCATCCTGTGGGTACACATTCCCCCCTGACTGCACCCTTGTCACAAAGCCATGAGCTGAGCTGTGACTCACGTGGGACTTTTCTGTTACAGCCACACGAGGTAAGACACTAAGGGAGGGGACTTTCTTCATAATCTTGCCTATGCATCAGCATCTCTCTTGGGCCTTTCTGGATTCCAGACCCTGCGCCTTCCGAGCCTTTCCTCCCGGATCAGTGAGATTGTGCATCCTCCACGGAAGGCCCTGTGGCTTCCACCAAGGCCCACAACCTACTGTCACCGGCCTCCTTCGCAATAAGACTTGAGACCAAGCTAGCCAGCTGCCAGCCACTGCTCAAGATCACTTGGCTTACCTTGTGCTTACGCTTGCCCTTCGGGGCAGGTTTTTCTGAGGCTGCACTCTGACGCTTAGGTTTTGAGGCCGTCTCCTTGTGGTCTGGCTTGGCAGGCACGGCTTGGGGCAAGTTGTGACCGGGCACCCTAGAGAGTAAGTCAAGGTTTATCTTCACCCAGAGATTTTTCAGATTCTCGTGCTGTCTAAGAGGGGACAGCCGCTCAGTATGCAGGGCGGGCGGGGGTGGTGACAAAGTTGGCTCCTCAATCGTGACGATGCTGCTGTTGTTGATGTTGACGGCTATGTGGGCACCACAGATGTCCTTGGATTTGGCAATGTTGCCCCCAGGGGTAATACAAGGCGGCAGGGCTTTGATCTGCAGGGTCTCTTCTTGGTCTGTGTTGGAATCAGATGTGGACGAATCTGTTTCAATGAATTCCCGGGACTTGGGCACCAGCTTTCCAGGCCCTCTGTATTTCTTCTTCTCAACAGCCAAGGGGATGCTAGGCCTGGGCTCTTTCCTTGGCACTGGTTTGTGGGCACTGGCTTTGTTGCGGCCTCTTGGTGGATCAGGAAGCTCCACGCTTTCTTTTTCTTTGGGAGTGTTGCTGGTAATATTTGGTTTGGGCCAGGGAAAGTCCTCAGAGCTAGTGTTCTTGTCGACCCTTTTGGGCTGTTTTTTCCCCATTGTCTTCTGAGAGGCTGTCTCCAGGGTTGTAGGCAATTTATGCTTCAAAGCCTTTGTTTCCGGAGGCTTCTGGGTGGGTCGTGGACGGGCTTTCTCCCGAATAAGGCTGAGGAGAGGCCCTTCTTTGGGTTCAGCCAGGACCTGGCTGGGGTTTGGCTTGTCCTTGATCTGGACTTCCATTGGCTGGCTGACTGGAGGAGGCAGACAAATCGTCTCCGTAGGTGTTTCATTTTGGCCACAAATAAATGATTTGTTCTGAGAGGTGACTTTGTTAAGCCATTTATCCAGCTGCCACTTGTTGGTGGAGGGTGGCTCAGGCTGCACATGGGGAAATGCAGCAAGAGTTAATTTGACATTGGGGAAACAAGAAACATTCCCAGGACCCTGCTTGCCAATAAAAGCTCTGGATGTTCAGGGACAACACCCCACCCCCTCGGCACACTCACCTTTACTCTCCACTCCAAATGAATCAAATGACCCAGATTGCCAGAAACTGCAGAAACCACCTCAGTCTGTTGATTCCAACTAATTTCCACCTCTCCTCTGGCCAAAAGTAGGCAAGGAGGTCTGGCAGGGAACCCTGATCCTACAATCCTTGGGGCAGACTCCTTACCCGGCCTCTCCCCAGGAGGCAGAGGGAGTGGTCCGGAAGGCTGAAAGGCAGGGGGCAGGTGCCTGCACTGTCACTCAAGCCAGACCCCCTCAAAGACACTGTGATCCACTGCCAACAGAGCTCAGGCCCCGTTGTATTCTTACCAAAGGATGAAAAAGACTGGGCTTCTCCCCACAAACCCTGCCCTTTCCCCTGAGTGGGGGCAGTGCCCTATCTATAGAGACACACACGCAGGTATTAGGCCACAATTCAGGTCCTTGGCTTCTGATGGGAGACTGCCCAGCGAACTAAAACAATCGTCATTTTTGTTACAACTGATCTTGTGAAAATCATCAGCCTCATGGTTCGAGGCCTGCAGATGGTGACCGAATGTTTAAAAACTGAGTAGCTGTGATTCCAACCTACACAGGACATTGGCAGGTCAGAGGCAAAAAACCCGTAGTGGCTGCCACTGTGTCCAGGGTGGTCCTGGGGTTCTGGCCCCCTGCCCAGGTAATGCACTGACCTCTGAGTGAGAACATGCATTATTGAACCTCTCAGAACCTCCGTTTTTCTCTGTAAACTGGAATGGGACCAGCAAGTACCTTGAGGGGTGGGCTGGGGTGAGGGTTGTTATGAGGGTTTGAAAGGGACTAACTCAGGCAAACACTGCTCTCCTGGCCACTAGACAAAGAGCAAGATTGTGAAGACCCCGGTTCAAAGCAGCACATTGGGAGAACAAGCTCAAATGGCGAGACATTCCTTCATGCCTGCTCATCTCTCTGCCTGAGACTGTCAAAGCTGGAAGCTGGCTAGTCACCACCCCCACAGCTATGCCCTCTGAGTCCCAGAATGAGCAGGTTGGAGAAAACACAAGTGAAGAGCTTTGTCTAGTACCGGGCTCATGGCTCCTGTCTCATGAGTGTTCCCTATTATGGATAGCAGACGGACAGAGTCTGTGGATAGTGTCAATGGATAGAGTGCTTGGCTGCTAACACAAAGTTTGGCAGTTCAGGTCCACCCAGAGGGATCTTGGAAGAAAAGCCTAGTAATTACTTCTCTGAAAATCCGCAGCTGAAATCCCAACAGAACACAATTCTACCCTGCCCCGCCCCCCCGGGGGGCAGAATGCACTGTGAACTACAGCTTATTTCATAGTAACTGGCTTGGTGATTAGTCATAATGGCAATAGGGCTCTGTCATCGTCTATGACTCTTTTCGGATGACTGTGTTCCAGCTCAGAGAGGATGGGAGAGGGAGAAGGCAAAATCTTTTCTTTCCCGCTATATGATGTGACCATTTTGTGGGCTGGGTTAAACACTTTTGCAAATGTTTGTGAAACACATTTGAAGGATGCAAATTTCAAACGTACAAACAAAACACCGAATCTGACCTCTCGACCATAGTAAGGTCTCTTTAAGGGAAGCCACACCTCCCGGGTGTTCTGCATCCAGTGGCACTTCCGTCCTTCACCCTAGAGCAGCGGTTCTCAACCTGTGGGTCACGACCCCCTTGGGGGTCGAGGCCCTTTCACAGGGGTTGCCCAATTCATAACAGTAGCAAAATGACAGTGAGGAAGTAGCAACGAAAATAATGTTATGGTTGGGGGTCACCACCACATGAGGAACTGTATGAAAGTGTGGCATTAGGAAGGTTGAGAGCTACTGGTCTAGAGTTATGGGTGTGGCAGCTCTAGGGCCAGCTGGAAGTGGTTCTTTCAAAAGAGATGCTGCCAGCACAGTTGGGACAATTCCACTTTGACAGCTGAGGAAACCTGAGGTTCAATGTAGTTCAGTGACTTGGCCAGGGTGGATGTATGCTGGAGGTGGGAGAGAGAGGCGGGCTGTCAAATACCGAAAGACTTTTGTGTGATGCTCAAGAAGTAAATATTGTGCTGAAAGTGAGTTTGTATGTTTATGTGCATTGGGGGTTGAATTGTGTACTCTCAAATAACAGGTTGGAATCCTAACCTCTATACCCGTGGCAATGTAATATAATGTAATAGCCTAATGCCTTCTAACATTAGGTTAATGAGGTCATTCCAGTGTAGAGGACATTGTGAAAGGAATCACTTCTGAGTTTTATAAAAGAGCAAGCAGGTGCCATACGAAGACAAGCAAACAGGAACGAGAGAAAGTTACTACCACATGAAGATGGGCCGAACTACAGTAAGAAGGAGACCTGAATTCTCCTATGGTGTCCACAGGAAGGGAGGGTGCTCCCTTAGAGTCCATGCCCTGAATGTGAACTTTGGACCTTTTGGACTCTGAGGGAAAAAAAGGTCTGCTCTTTAAAGTCACCCACTTGTGATTTTTCTGTTCCTGCAGCTCTAGATAAGGAAGACTGGGGAACAGATTCTGGCTGGGACCCCACCCACCTCTGGCGTGACCGCACGAGGGGCCTCATTGGCTTCGCTGTCAGTGGTGCTGCTTTCTGTGTCTGAGTCAGACTCGGAGCTGCTCTCTGAGTCGCTGGAGCTTCCGGATCCTCCATTGGCTTGCACTATGGGTGGGGGTGGGGATGTGGCCACCAGGAGGCTGAAAGAAAAAGCACACGATTCATGGCTTTGTTCACTATCAAATCAGACTGAGAAGAGATCAGTTATCACGTGCTCACTAGGGCCCTGTGATCAGTGGGCCAGGCAGGTGGGCATCCCCATTCCTATGGACCAGGAGCTCCAGGGACCTGCCCAGTGGCGAAGGTTTGATCAGAATCTGGGCCGGTTGTGGCCAAGTCAGGCATCACTAGCCTGAGTTCCCAGAAAAGCCTGGCTTCCTCACTCCAGGTGAAGACTGCCAGCCAAGCTTAAGCTTGCCCACCTCCTGCAGACCCCGAGAGAGAGACTTCATTTCCCAACGGTTCCATTGGGGTTTCCATTTTGATGACGAGATTTCAGTACAGTACAGCCCTGTCACTATGCAACGGTGAGCACAGCCTCTCGTCAGAGGAAGCTGAGGCCCAGGGAAGGGGAGGGCCTCACCTCTATCTCCCACCTAGAAGTGGGGCCTCCCAACTCACCCTCACACCCAGGGCTCAGCCACATGGTGACTAGGTTCAGGCCTTGCTGGCTGTTTGCTGGGTATATGAATCAGGGAGTAAGAAGATACAGTTCTCCATCAGACTTAGAAAAAAAATCCACATGCCATATTTAAGTTTTTAAAACCCTTTCATGGTGACGTAGGTGAAGGATCACAGAGTACATCAGTTTTCAATTCAGCACATTTATCGTATATACTCGTGTATAAGCTGAGTTTTTCAGCACAGTTTTGTAGTAAAATTAGGTGTATATATGGCCCACAGTTTCATGTCATGGCTTGCAAGCCCCACAATGCACCATCATTTATCCCTCTCCCTCCCTGTGTTTCCTGTTTCCATTCCTCCTTCTCTCCAAAGTCTTCTGAACTTGGAGTCAAAGCACATATGATTGACTATTCTAAGGTGTGTGTGTGTGACTAGGGTTCTTGTTCTCCTTATAGACCTGTTTATTGGTTGACTAAAAATGAGCCGATGGTGGGAGTTCAGAGCCAGACCTGAAGCGTGACTAAAGGCCATGGTCTCAGGAGTTCCACCAGTCTCTTATCTGACCAGTAAGCCTGACTAGTCTGTTTTGCCATTATAATTTTGGTAAATTCTTTTATAAACCCTTATTAAGGTATGACCATAAAGGATCACCATATCTCATGTTTTATGTTTGATTTGGACTTTGACCAGGCAAAGTATTTGAAAGCGAACTCCATTTGCTTCTCTGCCTTCATTGATAATCGATAGGCCCCACACCAGCAATCAGCTACTAGGCACATGGGCCATGACGCTGTCTTTCTGTCCTTGGGACAGGTTTTGCTCTTTTTCCTTAAAAATGGGGCTATAAAGTTTTGAGAGAATAGAGCAAAACTTACCCCAAAATAAGGCCCCATGGATCAATGGAATACTCATTAAAATGTTTCAGGCAGCTGAAGAAGCATTGGAAGCACTCGCATGTCTATGCCAGGAAATTTGGAAGACAGCTTATTGGTCAACCTACTGGAAGAAATCCATATTTGTGCCCATTCCAAAGAAAGGTGACCCAACAGAATGCCCAAATTATAGATATCACACACAAGTCAATTTTACTCAGTTCATTCATCAATGGTTGCAGTAGTGCCTTGACAGGGAACTGCCAAAAGCTCAGGCTTGACTCTGAAGAGGATGCGGAACAAAGGCTGTCATTGCTGTGATCAGGTTGATCTTTACTCAAAGAGGAGAATGCCATAAAGACATTTATTTGTGTTTCATTAACTATGCAAAGCCATTCGACTGTGTGGGCCCTAGTAAACTGTAGATAAGAGAAGAATGGGAATTCTGAAACACTTCATTGTGCTCATTTGGAAAATGTGCAAGGTTCAAGAGGCAGTTAGTTAGTTGTGTCAACAGAACAAGGGCTCACACTACATCAGCTGTGTGTCAGGGTTGTAGACTCACCATACTTGTTCAATCTATATGCTGAACAAATCATCAGAGAACCTGGATTATATGAAGAGTAGTAGTATCATGATTAGAGTAAGGCTTATTAACAACCTGCGGTATGCAAATGACCCAACCTTGTTTGCTGAAAGTGACAAGAAACTGATCACTTGCTAATAAAGAATCAAGGATTATAGCTTTCAGTAGAGATTACAACACAATGTAAGGAAGACCCAAATCTACACAACGGGACCAATAGGTAACGCCACAATCAATGGAGAAAGGTTGAAGTTGTCAAGGATTTTGTCTTGCTTGGATCCACGATCAATGTTCATGGCAGCAACAGTGAAGAGATCAAAAGATGCATTACATTAGATAAATCTGCGGCACAAGACTGCTTAGAGAACTGAAAAGCAAAGATGTTACTTTGAGGACTATGGTATGCCAGATCCAAGAAATGGTGTTCCCCATTGCTTCATCTGCAAGTGAAAGTTAGACATTGAATAAGGAAGGCCAAAGAAGAATGGATGCATTTGAATTGTAGTGCTGGAGAAGAATATACTTTTAAAATACTGTGGCCTGCTAAAAGGACCAACTAATCTGTCTTGGAAAAAGGTAAGGCCAGAGTGCTCCTTAGAGGCAAGGATGGCAAGACTTCATCTTCTATACTTTGGAAATGTTGTCAGAAAAAAACGGTCCCTGGAGAATGACATCATGTTTGATAAAGTGGAAGGGCAGCCAAAAAGAGGAAGGCCCTTAAGATGGATTGATACAGTGGCTGCATCAATGGGCTCAGGCATAGGAACAATTGTGAGGATGGGGCAGAACCCCGGGCAGTTTGTTGCTTCTTGGTGCATAGGGTTGCTTTGGGTTGGAACCAACCCAGTGGCACCAAATAACAACAATAACAACCTTGTTAGGGGCTTATCTTTTCCTTTGTCTCTTCAGCCCGTTTCCTACTCGGGAGGGACCAGCTTGGCTTGGCGTGAGGGGTGGGCCCTAAGCCTCTCTGCTTTGAAGACCTTTGACCCCTTGCCTTGTTCTTCTCACCTTCAACATACATGACCCTGGAGGTCACCTACTTCCATATTCTCACTTCCAAATTGGAGAAAGATGGAACCTATGCCCCCTTCCCCTTTCCAGAAGCATAGACCATTGCTGGTTTTCTGAACTACACAGAGTTTATGTCTCCAGCCCATTCCCTTCTTGAGTCTGTTCTCCAACATCACAGCTCTCTGCCACTGAGCTGGAGCCATGCTCTATTGTAGAGTTGGCCTGGGTTCTGTGCAGCTCTCTATTTACAGAGTCTTCTCATTCCTTGGGTCCTCCATCTGAAACATATTTTCATTTAATATTCCAGGTAGGCATTTTCTTTCATATAGAGGAAGGTCCATTTAGAATATTATCTCCTAAGTAAATGCTAGTGCACACCTCTACCGCATACACCAAGGGAATTAAGGGTAGCACAGAGAAGTAACAAGGGGCTTATTACTTATTAATAATGTGTGTGTGTGTGTGTGTGTGTTTGTGAGAGAGAGAAAGAAGGGGAAGAAGATATACAACTCTGTGTTCTTTTGCAACCCTCCTTTCGGGCAGTGTAGGAGTTATGCATTGGGCTGCTAACAGCCAGGTCAGCAATTCAAAACCACCAGCTGCTTCACTGCAGAAAACCAAGGCTTTCTACCCTGTAAAGAATTAACAACTCTGAAACGCACAGGAGCAGCTCTATCCTGTTCTATAGGGTCACTATGGGTCAACATCGACTCAATGGCAGAGAGTTTGGTTTGGAATGACTTAGTATGGATGCAATCCAAATGACTGTGTGTGTGTGTGTGTATATATGTCTTCAAACACACAGTCACTGAGTCAACTCCAACTCATATAGATCTGTATAGGATCTTCAAGATTGTACATCTTTAACAGAACAAACAGCCTCATCCTTCTTGAAGCAGCTGGTCAATTAAAACTCCCAATCTTGGCAGTTAACAGCCCACAGTGCCACGAGGGCTCCTCATATCTATGGCAAAGCACACTCTAAATCCAAAAAATTGTTTTTGCAGTTGGCTAGTCATTAACCTATGTTAACTTGGTTTGAGTTCTATTCAGTAACATTTCAATACACAACACAGACCATCTGCAATACTGAGAAGAAGGTGTTGGGCTGTTGATGGTGTACCCATGCTATGACTTGCAAGAGAAAAGTTTTCCATCATAATCTCATCCTAAATTTTAAAAGTTCAATTGATTTTGGAATATTTATGGATAGATGTCCTGTTTCTTATGCATTATTAAATCACTTTGGAGCAACTTCTATAAGAAACAAAATAATCCCAAGAGTTAAATCGCTCAAAAATCAAATGCAGTTATATATTTTTTAAAACTAGAATTTTCCATCGACTAAAATCAACTTATTCCTAGGCCACATCAAAGTAAATGCTTCATGAACTTAGTAGGAAATTTAGTGTGTGGGTGTATCCAAAGCCCTTGGAGGGCAAACGCATATTCTGATATTCAGATTTTTAAAATTAAATAAGGCACTATGGAGAAAATACCATGTCTGTGTATAATCTTCCAGTGAGGTCTAGGGACTCACCCTTTAATATAACTCATTAACATTACTGCAATACTGGTAGCAGCAGTCATAATGAGAAAAGAAAATACAGATTTTAAACAAATGCATGGTATTTGTTTAGGTCAGGTTTTGCCACTTAATGAGATCTTGTCTCAAACATTAAAAAATTCATACTCAGCACTGTTTGAATTTCAGAATTGTGGTTAAAAGATTGTGGATATGTATAAAAACCATACATAAATGTTGATGATGGTTACATTTATAAATAAATGTAGGTACAGATGATGCAGATATAGATGTAGATACATAGATGCATGAAATAAAGATGATTTCAAACCTAGCAATAATCATGACTAACATCTGGTGAGATGTGACTGGAAATGGCTCAATCTCTTGCAGTATCCTCAGCCAGGACCCCTGCTCAGTCAACATTGACGATGACCACTTAAAGGAAATAGTACATCCGCTTTTATACTTCCTTACTTTCCACACTGATGGATAGAGAGACTTGGTATGGGTAAAAAT